AATTGATCAGTCTGTTATTGGCATATGTTCATTCTGTATAGATGTCTTGAAAGTGCCTCATATCACAAACATTATAAGCAGATATGATGGCGGCTAGCAGTGGAATCTAGGACGCATGTTTCGTACTATTTGGGAATTGTCAGCCAATAGCTTGTGCAATGGGCTATTTCGACTCAATAACTAAGTAGGTAACGCGATGGCATTTTAAGTAAATGTACTGGGTTCGAGTTCTGGAATGAGCATTAACTCGGATGTGAGTGCATCCGGCTGACCAGTTCCAAACATGACGAAACATACGTCCTGGATTCAACTGCTAACCACCATTATCTCTACTTATGTTGTATTTCTGTTTCTGCAAATTCATTCGTATTTCCCGATTTATACTATTTACGTTTAATGTTTTCTACCATTATTAATACTCTTCTAAGATTTATCTCAAAAATTTCATCTATTTGTATAATGACTTCAACCAATGCACATATATACTTGATTCTACATTACTAATACCTGATTGATTGACTAGTAGTGAACAATTACTACTATGTAATTGTTCAATTACTTATTACAGATTGTCACGAGTTTATTATTCAATGATTAATTCACTATATTAAATTTTAATAATTGAAAATTATTCTTTCCGTTTTATGTTCATTTTTCAATAGAAAAAACAAAACAAAACAAACAAACAAACACGAAATCAAAATTGATTTCCAAAAAAAAACAGCAAAGGAAGTTTAGTTTATTGATTATTCGTGTTAATAGTAGTACTATTAGTAGTAGTACTATTAGTACTATTAGTAGTATGTGTGCGCGTGCGTGTACATTGGCACAATCATTATCACCATCTAATCTTACTAATCATATATAATTATTATACATAAGTACACGTACATCACCTTCATTATTTCTTTCTTTGGTACTTATCAAAACAAATAGAGTATATGTATATATATTGACTTGAATTATTACAATTATGAACTTCATGAATGTGAATGATTAATGATTAATTAATGATTGGAATGTTTATTGTTCTGGTGATACTATTCATTTAATCATTGTAATTGAATATTACATTATCGATTATCAATGGATTTATTCTATTTAAGATCATAATGATAAATAAGAGTAAAAGTTACTCAAAGAAAGAAAAAAAAGAGGAGTAATATATTGAAATAAAAGTGAAGAAAAAAAGAAAAGGAAAGAAAACCTCACCCCCCGAAACTTATCAATAGAGGGAATTAGGGCCAAAGAAGGATAGTGTGGTTTTTAGAAGGAAAATGTAAAACAATTACTTGATAAATACAGAAGCATTTAATTAATTGTGAACATGTTGCTCCAAAAGAGTCTTCTTTTAAAGTAATCTATAGAGTTAAAAGAATTGGATTGAATGGATATCGAAGCAATATTTTATACACTGTCGAAGTATTGGCAATCCATGAACTCAAGCCTAAACTCTCATCCTTCTTTGGCTTTAATTCACTTGATAGGTATTTTTCGTTTTTTTTTCTCTTTCTTCTTCACTTCTAAATAATTTATTATTTGTTGAAATATATACCGGATATTCAGTGTTTTCATTTATCCCGTTGTGATTGAAGTTATGATAATGAACTGAGAGAAATGTCTACATTCAGTTAGTATTGAACTTCATATAAAAAGCATCGCTTTACATGTTTAACCATATTTAGGATGTTAAGTGATTAGAAGTTAATGTTAGGAAACTCTACCTAACCTAAGTGTAATACTAGTTGATAGTCGTTAGAGCACCTAGACGTATTTTTAATCTTGCGATAAATGATGCTCACTGTGAGATATGAATTCATGTCATAGGCGTTAACACTGAGCTAGTTGGCCCAAAACTGATTTCTTGTAGAATTGATAATATTGACACTGTTTAATCGCTGAGTTATATTTATGTAATCTTCAGTATTGTCGAATAGATCACTATATAAAAAGGCGTCAAAAGGTTGCAGCTGTCATATTCATGAATGGAGTCGAAGATGATCATCATTCTTGTTAATTTTTCATTGTTTCATGTAGTTGATTTCTATTAGCTTATATTCATTTCATGTGCATCTACTGACATTATGTAGAATCAAAAGTTTTAATCTGATCAAAAATCTCAGTTTAACGAAGGTAGATTTAGATCTTACTGTGTATTATTGATCAAAAGCGTCAACTTAATCGATCCGACTATGTTCGTTCTGAGAAAGTAATTTAATCGATGATATTGTATTTAAATTGTACTGCTATGCAATTTATTTCAATTAGTATTAGACTTCTTTCAACAGAAGGGTCTTTTTAGTTTCATAGAAAACACTATACTACTGAGTCACTGAGTTGATATCCATCCAACAATATGGGGTATTGGATGCTAACTCTGTTGCTCCTACTTGCGGTATCATGTTCGGAACGTGACTTTAAGCTCGTGAGTTGGGTTCTATGTAGGGTTGTGGTTTGTATAACTGTTAAGGAGTACCATGTAAGTTCTTTGATTTGATATTTTCAATTGTTTTTCAGTGTGAGGTTTAAAAACATTCATTGAACAAGTTGGTTATGACTTGTCATGTTTGCCTAACCACCTCCCATCTTGGTGGGTGTTGTTTTACTAGTATAGAAGTAGGTTGGAAGAAAGCTAAGAGCGGCGAAACCGAATGGTAACATTATTCTATGAAGTTGTTGACTTTCCAACTAAGCGCTGTTGTCGGGTTTAGAATACAAGATTTCAGTCCGTAGGGTTATCGCAACCAATAATTAATGACTTTGGGTGATGTAGTTCAGAATCGATCATAACGATGAAGATCGACTCACTCTTCATCCTTATTCTAGATCTTGGGTTCCAGTATGCTTTCATGAATACCTTTTCATCTTGTCCTTTTGGACCATCTTATTATTATTATTTTTGCTACTAAATTACTTCGATTCTTGTGCTACCCATCTTATTAATTTTATCTCGTTGTGTTGTCTGACAACTTAAGGAAATACACATTTGTACCAGATTCTATGTTAGTTATTAGTTACTTTTTATAATTAAATAAAAGTCTGACAATTCCTCAACCAGTAAATTTTAACAATTTAGTTGACATTAATGAATAGTGAAATTCAATCAACCAATCATAGTGATCAGTATAGGGTCGTAGAGATTATTCATTTTTTGATAAAGATTATCCACGATGCCACCTGCGGGATTCAAACCCAAATTCTTCAGTCTCGCTCGAGAACGCTTAACTTCCAGGCATCCCGCTCACGGGATCTTGGATGCGCACTGCTGAGGAGTCCCACAATAGGACGAAACGCCCATCCAGTGCTTCCAGATTTTCAATGGTGGCCTAACATCAATCGGTTCATAATCTCATTTACAATAATTTCCATTTTTATTTTCCCAATTAATTTATACTTGGATATATAAATGGTAATGATTGAAATTGATGATCATATCATAGAAATTAACTATTCTGTGTTTTATTATAGTTGTAGAATTAAAATACATGTAATTTATACTTGACCTTTGAGTTGATATTTAGAATGGTTACGTGTATACAAATCATGTTTAGTATAATTTGATTTGATTATTGTATAGCACAAGCAATTTGATCATAATATCTATGTTTCATATTAGTGATTGATTAGTGTTAAATAACAACTACAATTATAACTACTATCTTGATTTAGTGATTATGGTTGTATATCATGACAACCGAATTGTATAAATGTTGGATTGAACGTAGTACAATTGTATTACTTACTAAAGATAGAATTGTTTCTAATGATAGTCAATTGTGCATAGATAACTTGTTGTCTTGATTTACATGTTTATTCCATTATTTTAATTATGAGTAGATTTAAGAGGATCCAAAAATACAGGGATTTCTTTCAACAAAGGAGCGGTTACTTAGTTGTTACTACGTACAGTTGATATTGGTGTTGCCATTGTTGATCAGATTAGGCAATCATCATTTTCGAAGCCAATTCATTTTCCACTAAGCTAGTTGATCACATTAACCTCCAAATAGTTCAATAATTATGACAAATTTAAACATTTACAGCGGAAGTGTTTTTGTACTGATTGAATAAAAATGTTGACTTTCTTAAGTAACTACCAAATCAACAAAGACATTTAGATGCCAGTTAAAGTTCTGACTGGACAAAACGTTTATACCGTATCTCACTACTTGTCACTATCAAATATTCGTATCATATTTTGAAACAAAAGTGATCATCAAATAAGAATATCCAATCAGAAGAAAACGATGGTAACTAGCAATGAAATCGAAGACTCGTGCTTCGTCCTATTTGGTACTCTTCAGCTAGATGTACCTGCATCTCAGCATTGATTTTCACTTTAGGACTCGAACCCAGTACCATTCGCTTCAAATGCCATCGCGTTATCCACTTAGCTACTGAGTCCACTTACTTGTACAATGGGGTGAAGTTAAATTCACTTGGTACTATTTGCTTGAATCTTCCCATTGTTATTTAGGACTGAAATTGATCAACCTATCTCTTATTGGTATATGTGCAATACGCGAAGGATGCTCATGTGCCAATAAGTGACTGATCAATTGCACTGTTAAACATCAGTGGGAAGATTCTAGTAAACAATACCAAATGAAATCGGAAGAAATTTATTGCTAAATGTTTTATTTCAATGGTTAAGATCATGAGTCAGTTGAAGCTAGACCACCATGGAAAACCTGGAAGTACTGGACGTCCGTTTCGTCCTATTGTGGGATTCCTCAGCAGTGCGCAACCACGACCTCACCCTCTGCGAGATTTGAACCTAGGACCTACTGGTTTCGTGCGCGAGCACTTAACCACAAGACCACTGAGCCGGCATCCAACGATGTTAATGTCTAACTTCAAATAATCCACAAAGTTGAGCTACACATCCACCATTGTCTTCAGTGAGTTACTATCTCACAACAGACCTGGTTGAACAAGTCCACTGGTCACTACTTATTTTATTGTTTGAATTTTGTTTTATTTATTTTGTATTTTCATAGGTTTAATTAATAATCGTAAAGTTATCGACAGTCTAATGAATAATTTGGAATATTCTACTAAAAAATTGCATTTATTACATAACGAATATTGTTTGGCATTGATCACTGCCAATCATTATCAACAATGGCTATATACACATTTACGACCATGTCTACTTAAAGGTGTTGAACGTACTATGCAATTGGCCTCGGAAGTTGTGTAAGTTGTTGTTATGGTGTTTTGACAGTATTTTGTTTCATTTTCTCACTGGTTGATATCAGTTTTATTTATAGAAGTATTTTTTTCCGTAATGCCCATTACTTTAAATGTCTTGAAGTACTTGATTTTCAACTAAAAAATCGCTGGTTTCAGTTTAACTTCATCTACCTTGATTTAGGTGAACAGGTTGTATTATTAGTCTGAAAGTATAGTGATATGACCTGAAGTTTATTACATAATACCTGTACTTGCTGAGTCAGTTGTGTTCGCATTTTCGATCCTACCGTGACTTTGTTACTATTTCATGATTTAGTCTGGTCCATAAGATTTTGGAATTTTTCACATTAACATTGTCTGTAATCAAAAATCGAACTTTGTGTTTGAAGCAAAAGTCTCATTAGTAATACTGTGAATGTAAGATTTTAACTTATGGTTATGAACCATCCACTATTGTGTAGATCCCAGCCTCTTAGTCAAAAAATTTGTTTACAGTTTGAAGTAATAATATTCACCTGGAATTTATCTAGGGTTTTATACTAGGATCAAACATTTAATTGGGTTAGAACCTATCATGCTTATCTCCAAGCTTTTCGTCAATATACCATTAATAACAATACTGAGTAAGTTAATTATCTTTGTTATCTATGACCCGTTTGATCACCTACTATGCTTGTTCCAAATACCTGATCAACTGTTCCTTTCAAAGTTAGAAGACAAAGACACTTTCAGAATCCTCATCCTTGGGCTACAAAGATATCCTCGTTCATGTTAAGGGAATTTTTCCTTTCAATATTATTATGTGTAAGTGGCTGAGATGTACTTTCTCCCTTACTTGACCAATGCTTACTTAAAACCTTGTGATGTATGTGTGTATAAAAACTTATTATCAGTTTATGAAGCCATCAACTGTTATCCTGAGCTGTGTTGGTGGATGTAAAATACCTGCCTAGGTTCAGCATGACAACTGTGATTAGTGATTGTAGACGTTGGGTGACTTAGCTCAGGATCGTCACAATTGCACAGATGGTTTTACTCCTTATATTTTCATCGACCTTGAGATTCAGTATTTCTTCACACACATCTTACTTTCCAACATTTTCTCTTACTTTTCCATTTAACTCGGTCACTACATTATTTCGATCTTCTCAATTCACAATTCATTATGTTATTGTTTTGATAACACGGGAAAACGAATATTTGTGTTATGTTGTACGTTATTATCATGAGTGATAGGAGCTTTGTCGTTTATTTTGTATACGCGTAGTTTGTGAATGTGATTGAATAATCGACAAACAATTTGATACTCTTTATAAAACAGGCTATTTACATACTTAAAAAGGCTTACTATGGCATATGAGTAGTGTCATGGTAACGTTAAAAATAACTTCTTATCAATGCATCATATATTCTTCTTCTTATCAATAATTTAATATTAAAATGAATATTTTTCTTTCATTTTCTCTATTGTTTAATCGATAGGAAAATGTTTGATCAGAGTATTTAAACTACTTGCTGTCATACTGATATCAAAGTTCTAACTATTAATTCTATTGTTGAGATCATAAGCCAATCGAAGCTAGACCACCGTGGAAAACCTAGAAACATTGAACGGCCGTTTCGTCCTGTTGTGGGACTCCTCAGCATCGCGCATCGACGATCCCGCCTCACGAGGCTCGAACCCAGGATCTGTCGGTCTCGCGCGCGAACGCCTAACCTCTAGAACTCTGAGACCGATAGGTCTTGGGTTTAAATCTCGCGAGGCAGGATCGTCGATGCGCGATGCTGAGGAGTTCCACAGTGGGACGAAACGGCCGTCTAGTGCTTCCAGGTTTTCCATGGTGGTCTAGTTTCAGTTGACTCATGATATCAACTATTAAAATTACTATAATATCCACGAAACCCTTTCTCATATTAATTTTATATAAAAAAATCAGGTAAACAGTCATTTTAATATGGCATTACACTATGAAATGAAGTTATGTTATTTAATATATGAAATCTAAGCAAGTGGTATTTTATTATTGTGGAAGTTTTGTTCAATCTTCGTAATTCTACATCACGAACTGAATTTAACTTACCTAAATGTTGAATACCAGAGAATACAGAATTGGTGTCTTGTCCTAATGGTAAGAGATTAAATGGTACGTGTCCGTGATTACATGAGCGACCAGACTCTGGACCTTTAGGCGTTACGGCATGTGCATATATTCCAAACCAATTAGTTGTTACCCAACATTATAAACTGATTAAAGAAAAATATCTTACACGCATACAGAAAACAGTTTTCAGCTTGAAAAATTCATCCGGAACTTTCTTTTATGTAGCTTTTATCAAACAGACGGATCTACGCAATTACAGGTTTAAGGTCAACATGAACCAATCAACATCGTGGTCTACAAGACAAACTGTGAACCACATGTGAAGAAATTCGCACACTTCACTTCTACCTGAATTTTATGCTGATGATGTCGTCCAGAAGAACGATGAAAGCTCCACGACCAAACCATCCAGCTCAGAGAACAAAACTCCATCAAAATCATCCACCTGAGCTACACATCTTCACCTAGGCAATTACAGTTTGATAATAAATTTGCTGCAAAAAGATATGTCCGTTGAATCTGGTATTTTCGCTGTCCTATTGAGAATCATTCTAAAAACAGTCTTGTTGAATTGAAATCTCTCGGTTTCGTTATGACATCCTGGAAATAGAGTCAAAAAGTGATACAACCCCATCAGTTTCAGACATAGATGATCAAATATATCTTATGATAAACTAGACTTAAATGTAATCTTACTAGGCATTCACAGGATATATTCTGCCAATCATCTGTTTTTTCCCGGTTGTGTTCATCACGGATTATTCCCAGCTGAAGCATTAATGAAAAATAGGAAGGGCTAATCAATTGTTTCATCTTAGTGCGACCACCTGGTCTTGGTGACCTAGTGGTTTAATCTGTGAGGAATTCATCCAAAAGATCAAGTCGATCTCAATAAATTCTTTTTAACTAGAGTTTACTAATCAGATTGGTAATAACTCATTTCAAGATATTCCTGAAGTTCTAGCGAAATGTCATGACTTATAGAGTCCAGATATATCTATAGTAAGACATTTGTTACTAATTTCATCGGATAATCATCATACTAATTAAGAAATTGGTTGGGATTTAAATTGTAATATTGGATGCTGACTCAGTAGTTCTAATGATTAAATGTTCACCACGAGATCTGTATATATGATACTAGATTGTTCCATACTAGGACAAAACAGTTTGTCCAGTACTCCCTGATATTGATTATTTTTTTAAACTGAAATCAATATTGTGACAAACATGACCTACACAGTTAAATTTATTGGTTTTTTTTTCCATAGTGTTTAATTTACTTATCAAGTTTTTTTCTCTCTCTCTCTCTCTCAAAAACTGTGCTAAATACCTTTTGTTCTTCTAATATAATCGAAATCGATTTTATGCCAAGCACTCGCCTTAGATATTGATTGTACTCATGCACACACACATACATACACAGTTTACTTGTGTGTGTGTGATTTGTTCTTCTAGAGACCGGAATGTGATTGAACGTTTTATTTTGTTTGTTCTTGTTTTTTTTTCTATCTTTTGTTTATGTGTTCATTTTAATATGCTACTACAGTTTTATGTCAATGTACTCATCAATGAATTATTGTTTTCAAGTACTTTCATCATTGTCATTGTCATTTCTTTATAGATATCAAAATTATTAAGATTAAGATGATCTTTTTGTTAAGTGTGCATTAGAAATAAAAATGATCCCTTGATGCTTTAAGCGCTTAGACTTCCATAGGTCGAATTCAAATTCTATCTCTGTTGATTATGAATTTACCATGGTTATTATTTTAAAGGCAACATTCATCATAAAGTACAGGTATTTGGAGTTGAGTTTCATCGAAGCATTATTTGATTCTAATGAAACTAGTAGGTGAGACTGATTCCGAGCACCTTCAGGTTTTATCTCCTGATTTCTGCAGCCATTTGGAAGACTCTCCTGGTCTATCACATTGTTCGAGCATTCCATGTACCTAAATAAATGGCTGCTGTGGTTGCCAGAAGGGGCATAAGCCACGTGACTTCTGAAGGAACTCGGATTTCACCATGACGCGTCATAACTCTTCTAAATGAAGACCTTCTGACTCCCAGGGCAGATAGTTTGAATAATTTTTTCTGGTTAGCGTTTTTTTAGCAATTTTTTTCTATGGGATGGGGTCTCTAACCCCATACCCAACCCTCCTCTTTTATCCGGGCTTGGAACCGGCAGTATCCCCAGAGGGGCTCCAGGCGGAGTTTTATGAATTGACTCCCAATGGAGCATAGGCCGCCGGCCAGCATTCTCCAATCCACTCTGTCTTGTGCCTTCTTTCCCAGTTCTGTCGAATTTTTGTTCATTTTTCTCATGTCTGTCTCCGTTTCTCGGTGTAATGCGTTCTTTGGCCTTACTCTTTTCCTTTGACCTTGAGGATTCTATGTAGGAGCTTACCTTGTGACGCAGTTGAGTGCTTTCCCCAATATGTGTCCTATCCACTTCCAGCGCTTCTTCCTGATTTTGTCCTCCACGGGGTTCTGATTTGTTCTCTCCCACAATAGGTTGCTGCCGAGAAGTGTAGACAGACGAGAAAAATGAACAAAAATTGGACAGAACTGGAAAGGATTGCTCAGGACAGCGTTGGTTGAAGAACGCTGATCAGCGGCGTATGCTTCACTGAGAGTAACAGGCGTAAGTAAGTAGGTGAGAATTGTAGTAGTTAGATGAAAAGTACTTAGCAAAGATGAATAATCAGTTGATGAGGTTTTGAATCTTAAGCGATTGAGGTAAGTAGGATATATGTAAGGTAAGCTTAACCATAGCTTGCATCAACTCACTCACACATGGTACTAGGTAAGAATGACAAATTGATTGACAGATGAGATAGAGAATGTTTATTGACCGAGATTGTGACAACATGTGTTACGTATGTCCACTCACCTCCACCTACTTCGACGTGCTATGTTGTCAGGTTTAGGAGTAAATTGGGAGAAAGCTAGAGGAGGCCAAACTAATACATGCGATTAGCCATGAAAACAGTGAGCATTGAGTTAAGCGATGCTGGCAGGTTCAGACGACATGGTTTGGTGTACATAAATATTGTGATCAGTTGTTAGAGAATTTGAATGACATTGCTGTAAATCATTTGTGATTTCCTAGGTACATTAACTGTGTTGTTTTCCCTGAAATCCTCAGTTTCTAAATTCATCATAAATGTTTGTCAAGATTTCACAAATTTAATTTTGTGGAATTGTATTTTGAATTCCGAATCTTTTCTGTTATAACTATCGTTACATTCTTTACAGCTGTGGGATTCGCACTGAAAATTTCATCTCACTGTGTTGAGGTTAGGATTGTGGCGACGTAAACTGATGTACGTATGTGTCAGGTTCTACTATCGGTCTGATTGATTGATACTTTTGTTGTGATTTATCGGGTGTTAGAGAGTAATTACAATTGGATTATTGTGTGTAATTTATCAATAGCTTTAAAACTAGAATTCTGTATTATATCAGGTACATTCTAATCTTGAGTATATGGTAATAATAAGTGAATGTGGCAAATCGTTTGATCACCTTGTAAATCTTCATCGAATAAAAGTGATTGAGGTATGTGGTACGTATTTCCAACTACCATCTTTGTCTATAGAGATGTTTTTTTATGTAATTGGTTGGTAGAACGCTATTATTGGCTAAATCAACACTGCGTCACTTCAATCGATTCTGAACCATGTCATTCAAGGTCTCCAACCACTGATCATGGTTATTTTGCAGACCTCAACAAGATAGTTTGGACGTACCGATATATATATATATATATATTTCTATGCCGCTCAGCCTCTCGTCTGGATGTAGGCAACGGTTAAGCCGCGTCAGCCGGCGAGAATTAAAAACTTCATTAAATGATTTCCCATCCTTGCCTAATACTCCTTATATAACCTCATCATTTCTCATTTTGTCGTTCCATGATATACGTATAATGCTTCAAAGATATTCGTGATCTAAAAGCCTTGAATTTTGTCATATCTTCTGCTTTTATGTACGAAATCTCATAATCATAGAGTGATTCTCGCCTTTTGGCTGATAAATAGTCACCTCGCATACTCCATAAGCGTTACAACTTGTTGTATAAGACTAACACAATAGAATTTCTTATCTTCACTAGTCCCGCTATTTGATAAAAACTGTCTTAATTACGAATCCATAATGGTTAAAAATACATTTTAAGAGTTTTATGTTTGCCAACGAATAATTCATCTCAGTCGGATGATAGTTACTATCTTTCAAGTATTCCTTCAGCTCCATACAATATAGGATACTACTAGTTGAGTGACAATTGTATTCGTTGCCAGTTCATGTGTTTTAAGTGTAAATTGTTTCTTTATTTATTGTATAGATGATGTTAGACTATATCGTGAGTTAAAAAGTTAGTTATCACTGACAGAATCGGATGCTAGTCTTACAATTTTGAGAAGTGACTGAATTTAGAAATATGAACTATTGAAGACTAATTCAGTGTTTCTGAAGGTTAAGCACTTTCTGAATGCCTCAAAAGTTCCACGTAAGATTTCTGGTAAGTACTTAATTGTATATTGCTGATGATAATAATCGTGCAATACTTCCTAGTTTTCAAGCCAGCTATAATCAGTTTGTGGCGTAAATCTTAGGATTCAATAGTTTCCACAAATCATTTCACACTAACAATAATCATGAACTTACTTACTTACGCCTGTTACTCCTAATGAAGCATAGGCCGCCGACCAGCATTCTCCAACCCACTCTGTCCTCGACCTTCCTTCCTAGTTCCATCCAATTCTTGTTCATTTTTCCCATGTCTATCTCCATTTCCCGGCGTAATGTGTTCTTTGATCTTCCTCTTTTCCTTTGTTTTTGAGAATTCCGTGTGAGGGCTTGTCTTGTGACGCAGTTGGGTGCTTTCCTCAATGTGTGTCTTATCCACTTCCAGCTCTTCTTCCTGATTTCTTCCTCTGCTGGGATCTGGTTTGTTCTCTCTCATGAACTTAGTGGTGACTAATTTCGATAGGTAAGTTCTGAAGTTCTAGTGGCAAGTCCATGAACAATGTAGTTCACCCCATGTTTACCTACCGTATATATTCAACATCTTTCTAAAAACTAATTGTTTAATGTATTAATTGTTATTTTCTGTCTTTTCCATTTTTCTAATAGCTGGCATCTTCTAGTTTTTGGTGGTGAAAATATAAATCATTTTCAATCGAATTGGCTTAAAGAATTTCAATCTGAATTAGATTTAACAAGCTTATTAGAACAAAATGGGTAAGTTGATGAATGAGTTCATTATGATTCAATAATTTTTATAATAACATAAATTAACTTTATAAGCAAAGATGGATAGTGCCTAGCAGTGAAATCCATGAGGCGCATTTCGTCCTAATTTGAACTCGTCAGCTGGATGTACCTGTATCTCAGAGTTGATGTTCACTCCAGTACTCGAACCCAATACCATTCGCTTCAAACGTCATCAAGTTATCCACTTAATTACTTGGCCTTGATAGCCATTTGCTTGTACAGTGGGGTAAAGTTTAAATTCACTTGATACTGTTTGCTTGAATCTTGCTTAGGTACATCATAATTTCGATAAAGTTCTATAATGTTCTCCTATCCACACTGTTGAATGCTTTCTCAAAATGAAAGAAGTTGATGTATAGTGACGAGTACAGATATGATAGTAATCATAATAATACAAAGAAACAGACGAATTGTTACTGTTTGAATAACACTGTCTATTAAATAAGCTAATAAATAGGCTCGACAAAATTAACCATAATCAAAATTAATTATAGGAAAGTTGCTGCAACCTAGCCCTCCTATCCCATGCTCATGAACAAATGCAGATGCAGACAACTCGTGTAGCAGAAGCATCTGCATCAGTAGGCCTCAACATTCACAAGAGGAAAACCAAGGTCTTCAAATACAACACAGAGAACACCAACGCAATCACACTTGATGGCGAAACTCTGGAAAGTGTGGATTCATTCACATATTTTGGAAACATCATCGATGAACAAGGAGGGTCAGATGCAGACGTAAAGGCGAGGATTGGCAAAGCAAGAGCCGCATTCCTACAATTGAAGAACATATGCAACTCAAAACAACTTTCAACCAATATCAAAGTCAAAATCTTTAATACGAACGTCAAGGCAGTTCTAGTGTACGGAGCTGAAATGTGGAGAATTACTACAACCATCATCAAGAAGGTACAAGTATTTATAAATAGTTGTCTACGCAAGATACTAAACCTCCATTGGCCGGATACCATCAGCAACAGCCTACTGTGGGAGAGAAAAAACCAACTTCCAGCTGAAGAAGAAATTAGGGAAAGACGATGGAAATGGATAGGAAATACATTGAGGAAATCATCAAACTGCATCACGAGGCAAACACCAACTTGGAATCGTGAAGGGAAGTGGAAAAGAGGAAGGCCAAAGAACACATTACGTCGGATAATAGAAGCAGATATGAAAAGGATGAATAACAACTGGAAGGAGCTGGAACGGATTGCCCAGAACAGGGTTGGATGGAGAATGCTGGTGAGCGTCCTATGCTCCTTCACGAGGAGTAACAGGCGTAAGTAAGTAAGTAAGTAAATAAGTTGCTGTAGCTTCCATGGCTTATAATAGTTTGCATTGAAACTTCAATAAAATTCATTTCAAAATAGTTCTCTAGTTGAAATGTAATTTCCATTGAGTTTAAAGATGATTACACAAAGGAGGCATATCATTTTTTTTTCTTATTTCTTTTTAGTTTCCAATAGTTCTATAGAAATGATATCAATTCAAGATGGAAATCACCTTCAATTTATACATTAAATCTTCACAAATGAAAGCTAATTTATAAATATGATACATTTTTTTTTGGCTTCACTCTTTATTATGTCTCCTAGTGGTTATTATCTTCATTGTTGTTAACTTTTTCTCTCACTGCAAACTATCTATCGTATTTTTTTTTTATATTTTATCTATAGAGTACAATTTCCTGGACCTGTATATCATACCTTCAATCAAGCATTAAATAATAATACAACAATAAATGGAAATCTTTCTCCTAGTTCTTTAATTGTTAATGATTTAACTGGACAATCATTAATTGAATTGTAAGTGTTTAGTTTCTATCTTTGATTTTAGTATCTATCCAATAAACGATGAATGAAATAATCTTCAAGCAAGTATAAGTATTGTGTGATTTCATATCATTTAGTAATGCAAATTGATCACACACACACAAAAAAAACCAAAGTTAACACGCGGAAAACTCTAGGAGATTACCATTTTTTCCAATATAATTTATTAGTAAATGAAGTCAAAATTCATTCATCACTAATGTATGGTTGATATTGAATATCTATCAATGCAAACTATTACTTGTTACGTCGGTATATATATGAAGTGAAAATTAAGATAATAAGTAAAAGCAAACATACCTATCCACTTCAAACCATAGTTGTATTTCTCGACCTTAAGGTAGTGTTCGACTCCGTAGATCGATTTGTTTTACGGTATTATTTGGCATTTTACGGGCCCTCTACTTGTACATTATTGGTCAAGTCAGAGCGTATGACGAAGTATGATTAAAATCGATAACCTCGAATGGTGTCCGTTAGGGATGCATACTCTCCTTGTTTTTATTTAACTTTGTCACAGACATTCTTTTAGGGGTGGGACTTGCATTATCTGATCTATCATGAATCAATCTACTATCAGTAGATTAACTTGTTAAATTAGAACATACAGATGATATAATTCTATTTGACGAATACACTGTGAGAATGCAATCTTTTGTTCTCTTTGAGCAACAATACAAGAATGCTTTGGATGCAGTTCCCTCCATCTATATCCCAAATGTTGCGGCTGGATTCGCCTTGATCAACTCTTGAAATAATGATAGGGAGTGAATTATTTGAGGGTGTCAAACTTTTCACTGGTCTTCTGCTGTTTAACGAAATCTCAGTTTCGTTTTGTCAACTTGCATAACTTCTGGTGTAGGCTAGATATTCGTCTATCACCTTGACTTTGTGAATATGGAGCGTGGTCTTTAAATTTAATGGTTTATTTCTCATTTGTTAGTATTCCATTATAGATGGCTTTGAAGCATTGTTCGTGCATACAAATAATAATTTTAAAACTAGAATACTGTACTACATCGTGTACATTCTAAACTTGAGTATATGGTAATAATAGGTGAATGCAGCAAGTCTTTTGATCAGTTTGTAAATCTTCATCGAATAAAAGTGATTGAGATATATGGTACGTATTTCCAACCACCATCTTTGTCTATAGAGATGTTTTTTTTATGTAATTGGTTGGTAGCACGCTAGGTGAGGTTAAATGAACACTTCGCACCAGTCCATGAAGTAATTGACTACTGGTCTATCATGTTGGAATTCAAACTACTTGATTGGATTTCACGTGATAACTTCAGTCATTAAATGGAGACTGAGTAATATATTTTAGAATCATTCACAGTCCTTCAGATTTATTTCCTCTTTACGTTCCACTTGGTCTAGAATTCTAGTTACGCTTCACTCATTCGTTTTCATGTTAGTCTTATTGAACCGTATTCCAAGTGTTTAGTTTTTCTCATTATCATTACTATTATATTATTTTGACCACTTTCATTATTCATCTCAATGATTTCATTTCACGATAGTGTGTTTTACCAACTTGGGCTAACGAACATCTCTGTCAAGCTCTATGTGGATGATGATTGAGCGATCTACATAAGTAATGTGTTCATATTATTTACTGGTTTAACTCATTTTTACTTCCTTTTTAACAGAACACAATTGCATAAAAATAAGGAATTATTGCATAGAGAAACCGTTAATCAAATGACTAAAGAATGTTTACAATGGGAAGAAGCATTATCTCAATGGCGTGCTGTGTTTGCTAATCCAGGTCCTAATCCATGGTCATCAAATTTATTCAATATACATTCATCTAGTGTTTCACCAATAGTTAACACTCCACAAGATAATAATTCAAATGGATTTCATAATGTAGATAATTCAAATCATTTAGCGTTGCCTGATATCCAAGATCTTTGGCATGATGATCGAGCTCGACCTGTTAAGTAAGTTTTAGCTTTTTGTTAATCAGTTGTTTAAGTAATTCATTCTATACTGACTAATCACTGAAATGTAACTATTGATGTATTTGTCTAAGTCTTTTACTGATGATCGAATTCTGTCGATAAAATTACCATTTTAACTACTAACCTAAGTAACTAAACATAGCGGTATGCTATGTTCGAACACTACATGTGGTTACTGTTAACTGACAATCTCCATCAAGACATATGCTCTTTTTATGATGGGATGTATGGTTTACTGGGACTTGGACTCGCGTCACCAAACGGTAGGTATTGTAAGAGACATTTCGGTAGGGTTATCTGAGTTGCAACTGGTCTTTTTTGGGACTAATACATTTACACTGATCAGTCAATGAGTAGTGACCAATGTCATCTTTATGTAGTCATGATTTGTGATTTTATTGTATGGATAAGTTGCGAAGCGGTCATTAGTTTAATTAATATAACTAAGCCTCGTCGTGTGTGATCCTGAGCTTTCTATAGATTGATTTTAATCACGATATTTTCTGTTTTCTAACTTTCTATTCTGAATTCAGAAATCAAGGCATCCTTCCTAATGATATTATATGTAACTTAAACCCATAGGTAGTTTGTGCTGAAGGAAGCTGCGAATTTTGTGTTCATGAACAATATCGAGATAATTCAAGATGAATTGGTCAGATAGGATTTGCCTAAATTTTAAGGGGGTGAGTATCGAGGCGAGTAATTTCTAAGTTGCTAGCATCTTACCAAGTTACCCATATTTGCATTCTGTTCCAGAGAGATCGTGCCCAAAGGAAAGAATGTTCGTAAGAAACATTCGAACAGTATTCAACGTAATGCTATCGTCCAAATAGTGAGGGCTCACAAACAAAACACGAATCTTACAAATGTACATAACATCTTATAAAGACCAAAGAAAAAAAAGTAGGTTAAATACTTTGAAAAATTGAACGCCAGCGTAAATTCACCAAATAAATAGCAAGTGAACCCGAGGAACTAAATATATTCTTCGAAGGAATAGAGATGTCACTAACTGTCGATAATTCCTGGGAAAACTCTTCTAACGTTTGTGTCCCTTCCTGGTTGATTTGTTACTAGTTATGTTACTAATTTTCGTGTAATACTAGAAGCTTCTGTAATCTCTACGTACATCAGTTTAAGCCCTTTGATCTTATAACTGTGCTTCAAATAAATAATATAATAACAACCGGATAAATATAAACTCGTACTAATGAACATCATACCCATTGTGGAAAGGTTAGTCGTTATCTGGATGCAGTTGCTCAGTTTTAAACAGTCAGTGGTCTTGAGTGCTGTTAAAGTTATGAGGGCGTTTATCACTTCCCGGTTGCCCACACCGTGGAACGGTTGTTCTGGAGGTACCTGAAAATGAAATTGGATTAGAGGTGGTCTTAGTGACCTGAGAGCGTGACCGCAGTGCCCAAGGGACAACTGCTTGAAGTTGGTCATACACGACCTTCTTGTGAGTAATTTTTGTGTTAGCTCCGTACTTGTTGAGACCTTACAGCCGTAGACGGATATCCGTGGGATAAGGCGAGGTGTGCATTCTTAGGGTCGACCTTTTCTAACCTCAGCCCTCCTTGTGGGAAGGCAGCATCGCTATCATGCTGGTTGTCTGAAGGAAACACCTTACTACTGTCACACCTCTGTATGGTCAACAGTACGACTTTGCTCTCGCACCTTGAGTTTGTTGCCTTTAGTCTTACCGTTCTTCAACCGACATGTCTGGCATGCTAAGACCTTGAGAAACGATTGTTCCAGCCAGTATAGCTCGGTTGCTTCATCACGAAAGTCAAGTCCGACTACCACGTCAAGGTAGCACCATTGGTCGGGGAAGTAATCAGTACGTGATTCAAGTTTCAGTATAGATATCAACACTAGAATGTAAATGACTTTAGACATTAAATTCCAAATACTCTTCTTGTATATTACTGTTATATCATATATCTCATATATATTTTTATTCTTTTATTTCACTTCTCCTTTTTTCTCTTTCATTTCTTTACTCTACAAAAAAAATAGTCTTTGTGAAGTATCATTTCGTTTAGCAATTTGTGAATTTGAATTATGTTTTGCTAATTGTCTTGCTGATTCAGAAGCTCAATTAGTTAATGTATTAACTGATGCTCAATGTCGTTTGAATTGGCTTTCATTAAAATTACTTACAAATGATCCAACTACAGGTTATCCAAATACACCAGCTACATTTTTACGTGATCCTTGTGATGTTACTACTAATAATACCACTAATGGGAATAATGATAATAATAATAATAATAATAACGATATAGATATGCAAAATGGGACTGATGATAATTGCAGTCAAGCTTTGAATGGTCATGATAATTCAGTAAGTGTTATTATTATTATTATTGTTTGAATGTTAAATATTCCAACGTTATGATTTTGTGTGCATTCAAATTCTCATTGTATCTTCCTACAGAATTGCCAGAGTTCTTGATTTATATTTTTAAGTAAACTGTTCCACTTTTAGAAGGGGTTTTGTGGATATTCTAGTAAATTTAGTAGTTGAGACAATGATGGATGTGTCGCTCAATTTCATGGATTAGTTAAAGTTAGACATTAATATCGTTGGATGCGGACTCACTGGTCTAGTAGTTAAGCGGTCGCGTGCGAGATTGATAGCTCCTGGGTTCGAATCTCTCGAGGCGAGATCGTGGATGAGTACTGTTGAAGATTCCCACAATAGGATGGAACGGCCGTCCAATGCTTCCAGGTTTTACATGGTGGTCTAGCTTCATGATCTCAACTATTCTAGTTTCATTAACTCAACGTTTCCTTGTAGACCACTGTAGGAAGAAATAAAAACAGTCTTTCAGAAATAATACAATTCAGTGATTATGTAGCAAGACACTAATTGTTGTACAATAGTGTCAGCATTCAATGAACATCTTGTCTGCGTTACATGCAATTAAATATAAATCACCATAAACCTCAATTTTCTATTAGCTAGCCCTCATAAGGAAGGTGTATCTGCAATCCTGGTTAGTTGATACTGGATGATTCCGCTTTGAACTCTACGATGTACATCTCTTACGAAGTAATAAATAACTGTATGATTGACATTTTGATGTTCGAAAAGATGAGTATTTGTTCAGGAATTTGTTTGATCTATAAGTAATTAGAGCCTATTGAATATTTAGTGACGCTTAGATAAAATATATATATTTAAAAGTAAGCTTTCATGCCTTTGACTGTGTTCTCAATGTTTGTGAATTCCTCACGGCATTCATGATCGATAAATGGAGAACTCAGGTGACATGAGTGAAAATTGATTTATGGTGATGTAGATGCATTTATTCTCTGTCTCTTTCCATACTCTAAGTCTCACTATTGTTTTATACTTCCTTTATTCCATGAATACATTACTTTTCATATTATATTTTCTGTGTTCAAACTTTTCCTTTAGTTATGATTGAGACTGTTATTTTTTTCACCAACGTTCTACAATGATTATACTTGACTGAATTTGTTCAAGCTTAGGAAATTACTCAATTTTGATATACTGATTCTCATTACTGAAGAGACTCATACTAGAATGAAACGGTCGTTCAGTGCTTCTAAGTTTTCAATGGTAGTCTAACATCGATCGATTTTATAATTTCATTCAAAAACCTAATTAAAATCAAATTAACTCAATTGTTATCTAATCATCCATTGTGCTCCAATGTTTGCATTACAACTGTGATGTTGATTAATAGATTTCTCAGTATTTCACTTGGTATTTTTGCTTGTATCTTCTCATTGAGGTTTAAGGCTGCAATTGATCAATGGAAAGATATATGCAAAAATACCAAGTGAATTTTAATTCACCCCATCGCACAAGCAAGTGGCCATCAGGACTCAGTAGCGTAGTGGATAACGCGATGGTGTTTGAAGCGAGTGGCACTGGGTTGGAGTCCCAGAGTGAACATCAACTCTGAGATGCTGTACATCCAACTGACGAGTCCCAAATGGGCGAAACGCGCTTACTGGATTTCACTGCTAGTCACTATCCATCTTTGTTTATCAGTATTTATTTTGTTAAATATTTAAGCTTTAATGTTGACAGCTTATTGACAATTGTCTGACATTTTTTCTAAATCCGATAACATGAACTATCACAGAGACTGATAGGTTCTCGGTTCGAATCTCGCGAGGCGGGATCGTGGATGCTCACTGCTGAGTAGTCCCACAGTAGGATGAAACGGTCGTCCAGTGCTTCCAGGTTTTCCATGTTGATCTAGCTTCAACTGACTCATAATCTCAATCGTTGAAATTACTACAATATCCACAAAACCCCTTCTGATAGTAATGTGCGTCTATATAAAACTCGTTTTTGCTTATATAAGTACATAGTTTTCTATCATATCTCATTTATATACTTGAGTTTACCACATATATGTATACATCATGAATATGGTATCTCATTGAAATAGGGTGTTTATTCGGTCACAAATATATCTCACATTCTTTGTACATATATAGATATACATAACATTGATTATGAATATTAATCAATGATTAGATCAGGGTAATGTATTTAGTATAATTACCAAGATAAAGATGAAGTTTGATGATGATGATGATGATTCTCTATAGATCTATGTGTGTTTTCTTTAATTGTGTGTTTTTCGATGTGATTCAATCTATGATGATTGGTTGATTTTTAATGAAAAGAATATAGTTAGTAAATAAAAATCTTATCATTCGTTTGTTTGTTTGTTATGATGTAATACTTGTAACCTATCACTTGTATCATTCAGCTTCAATTCAGTTGTCACTAGATTAACTCTTGGTTCATTGTGTAATTATACCTTATTATTGTATATTAGATTATCTAACTTTTAGTTTCCATGTTTCATTGAATTTATGTATTTTAATATTTTTTTTCTCAAGATTCCCATTTGTAATCTAAGCGATTCATATTCTACTGATCTTCCTAAATTATTAACTGAACCAATATCCAATTCACCATTTGCATTATCTTTATCTAATACATCTGATATGTCATCTAGTATAGAACAACAACTACAATTACAACAACAACAACAACGTCCAGAACGCAATCGTCTTTGGCAAAGTGTTAGACAATCTATGTCAAAATTTCGTTCTCATTTTATTCGTAATAATAATATTCGTTCATCGACAAGTTCTATACCAAATACACGTACATATCAATGTCGTCTTCGTGAAACGATTATCACTACTATACCAATATTAAATACTGTAAATGATAATAATAATAATAATAATAATAATAATAATAATAATAATCAGTCGTTACATAATCCAACTATGAATGGATTAAATAATCAAAACTCTTTAGGTAAGTAGTTTTTAATATCCTTAATGACAACAATTTAATTTGTTCAGATAAGTTATTTTATATGTGAAATAGACTTTGATTTTTTCCCTTATAAATTGTCTTTTACTGAAACTAACCCTTTATTTTACAGATATTTAATAAAAGGTGTATATCCTGGTACCAAGTTACTCATTAATCTGGTTACCGATGCTAATGAGTGTATGGTATTGTTGTAGTGAACGAGAACTCAGATGGGGGGCTGGGTGGAAATCCATATGTTGTTTAGGATGAAATTACAAAGTACCTTAAGAAAATATGTAAACCATACATTAAATATATACTTTGCATATCTTCCTACAGTTTTCCTCTATACGCTTCATGATTCTTTCAATTCTATTGTTATTATAATTGATCTCTGATTCCTTTCCTGTTTGTCTTCAATTCATCTTTGATCGGCAGGTATTTCACTTCTCATTACTATTATGTACTACTTATATCTGTCAGTATAAGTAACATTCACTACAGTATAATATCTTACTTTATAAGCTAGAAAAAAAATATATAAAACTAGTGATTAAACTAGACTCTAGTCCTCTGATGCTTGTCAATGTTATTTCTGTGATGTCCTGATAAGCATAATGAATGGTAACTTTTGAGATCCATTTATGGACCAATACTATGAGTACATTTTTATGATATAGTTGTTGAATAACTAAACTATACATATTCATGTCTCTCTTATTATGCGCCTTATTTTAACCTATGAACTGTTATTATACGATTTTCCATTCTTGAATTATGCCCTGTCTATTAATTACTACCTCCCTCATTCATAGCCACATTTGGCTAATTCTTGTACAAATGTTGTTTCCTATTTTATGGTATGATGTGGTCTGTCTGGTTGGTATATAAACCCAGTATGTTTGAAATACATGATTCATATCTCGGAGGCTGAGATTGGTGTTCTGGACTTAACAGGCAGTGTTAGGCAGGGTGAAGGATCTATAAAGACTTTAGATTGCTCGTACGGGTTTCATGCATCATCGGTCCTATCGGTAATTCACTACTTTCTTATTGGCAGTATCAGTACGTATACATTAACAGGGCACTCAGGCTACAAGTTATAACATTAACATTCAAGTGCTTTTGTGTATTTATTTGAACACAAACATTGGTACAAGAAGGCACCAAATACATATGTGCCACACAAACTATTCGATTTGCGTGAGGTCTAGGATACAGACAAGGTGCCCAAACTGAAGCAGGTGATTTTCTTAAGGAGCCACACTCCGAGACTTCTACCTAAAGGTCTAATCCACAAGACAGTGGAGCAACGCAAGGTGATGCAGTCACATGGTAGCCGGCGACCAACAGTAGGTTCATACGCCTTCTCACTCCTCGGTATCCTGGAGGCCATAAGCATCAATGGTTTAGAATCAGCATTTTCCAACTTCCCTGGGTGGTCGCTCCATGTCCACCAACCCGGTTACATCGTCGAGCATTGACTGTTCATCCTTTCAACTTCGTAAACAACAGTAATGCCTTGAGAAGGCAGTGAGTAGGACTTCCCTATCAATAACTGTATATACGTGGGCATGTGAAAGCATTTTTAGAGGGCTAGCTGACTCCCTCCACTCTCGACTGTACCAGACTATTTGGGGGTTGTGTGATAGATTTTTCTGTGTTTTCATATTTTCATTTTTTTATGTCGTATTAGAAGAATCTACGATCGTTCGTAAATTATAATTTACAGTACACTAGCCTCCAAATTGTAATACGTTAATTGTTATTGTGGAAATGTAACTATATTATTTCATACACTTTAGTCGACTATTATTGAAATATCTTGGTTTGATCATTCCTAGGTCAATTCTAAACTGTTTCTATCTTACTTGCTATTGTATATCTTACATTATGTAATTTTCTTACATTCTACACTTGTAGTTTACAGTAACTCGTTGTTTAATCAATTATAAGTTTTGTTTCTGGAAAGTTTAATCAGATTGGATGAGTTATCGATTTAAAAGGTCTGCAGAAATTAAGTGTTTCGTACACAGTATGCAATTGAATTCTCATATCTGCTTTCCTTGTTTAGTAAATTGCATTGCTTGTCTAATTAGGAGTGGTGTCCTGTGGTTCGTTATTTTCTGGTTGCCCATATTCTAAAAAGTTGTTTCTTATTTTGTAATTTGAATGATTATTCGTGTTGTTAGTAGTGGCCTTATCAACATGAAGGCTGACCGCAAAAAGCGATCAGAGCAGCCGAATGAAGCTGATCATTTATGATCCCACTATTTAGAATTTACATAGAATCTTTAATGTGATATGTTGTGTGCTATTTTAGGAATTAACCCTTTCTAACTACCTCTTCCATTTTTGGGTAGGTAGCATTGCTTGAAAATGCCTATTATCCTTGTGAAACAATTTACGACATCATATCCATGTTCAGTCGTCAGTAAAGTTTCACCTTCAGATCTTCTCTCGAGTAGTTAATCGATCTAGCTAATATGGTAAATCATGCAGAAACAAGTTTTTCCCGTTAATATAGATTTACCGAGTCGTCTCGATAGACATGATTGACCACTGTGTCACGATACAAGTTTACAGTCAAGATTTATCTTATATCCTACCACCAATCATTATAATGACTGATATCATTATAGTCTCTTATAAAATAACTACTTTATCACTATACAAAGTAGTCAATAATATTTGTATATATGTATGTATGTATGTTCACAATCTACTCATTCTCTCAATTCAAACTATGTATACAGGTCAATAAAATGAATAATGTATTAACTATTTCAGGTCAGCAAGTGTGTTCATGTTGATAGAATGTTTTCATTTCTACTATAAACATGGGTTCAACATTAAATAATATCTGCATCACTATCTATCTCTCTCTCTCTCTCTATACATATATACTGTATTGTATTATCAATTAGATTGATTGTTAATTTGTTGGCAAGGTAGGTATATTTGAGAGATATGTTAATGAGTTTTGTTTTCTTTAGTATTAAGAAGAAGAAAAAAAAATAGTAGAAATTTCAATCCTTCATTGTTTTATTCGTTCATTTTCATGATTGATAAGAAGTTACTAGGTTTGTTATTGTTATTATTGTTGTTGTTATGTTGTTTGAATTTATACCCCCCCTTTTTAAAAAAAAAAAAAAAGAAATCAAACGAAATAATAATGCTTAAAGCATAAACGAGAGGGGGGAGATTATAGAGATTGTTGAATTTCGAAGGTTATCTCACGGGTTAACTTTAGATAAACAATGAAAACCTGGAATTCCTGAACAAAATGATTGATGATTGATAATATCTAGTAATCATGTTCAACATTATTTTTTAGCCTTAAGAATTGGTGTATATCTTTTTCTCTCAGGTAGTTTATTGTGGTTAGCGTTTTTTTTTTTTTGTAGCAAGGTTCTTTTCTATGGGATGGAGAATTTGATCCCACTCCCAGAGACCCTCTTTTACCCGGGCTTGAGACTATCAGTAGCCCTAGAAGAGCTACGGGCGTTTTTTTCAATTGCTCCTTTTGATGACATGAAATAATGAATTTTAGTTTCTTTCCTTTCTGCAAAGGAACAGTAAATTATCTTCATTTCTGCTTGAAACAACAAACATCTTTAATATACAGTGTATATTCTTGTTAAGATGTTTCATTTTCTTGTTAATAGCCGAGTAGACAGGGCATATGATCATTTTGTCTTGTCTATAGATCGGTGTATATGCATATTTTGATAAAGTTTTACCAATGGGTGACGGATAAGCAATATTGCAAGTGAACTAAAATTGAGAATGTGAACTACTGGATACCAGTTCAGTAGTTTGGAGACAATTTAGCTTTCTACAAAGTCTAAAAGCCCTGGGTTCGACCTTTTTGGGGTCATGGAAACACACTGCTAGGAAGTTCCATTCTAAGGAACAATAATCGCTTCATGTTCTCCGGTTTTCTGACTACAATCTCTTTGTCACTGAAAGTATACTCAGAATGAAATTTCCCTAAAAGTATGCAACAACTTTGTGGTTAAGACACTCACCTTTCCATCTTTTGGTCGCAACTCTGAGTCTCTCTTTACCTGCTGTGAGTTGAACAATCAGGTTTTTTTTTACTTGATATCTACCATGTTTTCAGAGATAATATCTTCATCGTCTGACTTTATGGGGGTTGACTTCCTACCAGGAGATTCACTTGTTAACTTTGAAAACACAGATAATATAGTTCTGTTTGGTGAAGACACTGACGAAATTCAGAGTTTTTCGACCACCTTAAACAACAATGCAAGTATATTCAGAATGAATTTCTCCCCCTTTCGACGTAAAATGTTACTTCGAGATTGTCTTTAGCCAGCGCCTGAATTAATGATAGGAAGTAAAGTTATTCAACGATTTAGATGGTAGTTGGAGGTAGTCAACAGGAAACCCTGGACCAGGGTTTCGTGCTACTTGGCACTCGTCAGCAAGGTGTACCTGTAATCTTGAGGGAACTGGTGCTCCCTGACGGATTCGATCTCGTGTCACCCAGCTTCACAGTCAGAGACATTATCACTGAGCTATCCGAGCCGTGACTAACCTCCTGTAGGACTGAGATTTCGAATTCCTCGTAAACCTTTTTTTGCTCTTATTTCACCAATTTATGTTTTCTTCTCGAGTCGTATCTTTGACTCCTGATCTTTCCTATTACCATCTCTACTGTTGTGGGATTCGATCTGACAGTTTTATCTCTATGTTCTAACTGGTTATGGCAACTTGGTCCAATGTACCTACATACCAGGTTCTACGTTATGATTGACCGGCTGACCTGCTGTATACTGTCTAAAGTGATTGAATAGTGTAAGCAGATTTATTGGAAGCTTAAACGAGTTAAAGTGTTTTGTAGCTGTTTCCCTTTTAATTATTAGGAATAAGTAATGTTACAAATTGTGAATACTATTTGTTATGTCCCGATGGTTTGCAAATATATCACATAATACGATCTCCAATTTGAACACTGACTTATTGACCAGACTAATAACGTATAAACCAGTACGAGCAGCCTAGAATCAACTCTGAGTTGCAGTAGCTTCTCACTTAACTCAGCTGGTTCAGTTCAGAACACCAATATAAACCTTCACTGAATAAACCATCTATTTCAGACATACTTGGTTTATATACAAGCAAATCAAAGTGCATCATACCATAAAATAGAAAATAAGAATTATACAAGATCAGGCCAAAAAATGGCTGTTATTGTGACATACTGTAACTAATAAATTGGGAATAATTTAGGTATGGTAAATCGTATAATAGTAGTCAATAGGTCAAACGGAAGTTTCTAATGAGAGGGATATGCATATACATATAGTATACTTACTTAACGGTTCAATATTAATAATATATCATTTAATAACAGTTCATAAATAGATCCTAGCAGTTACCATTTACTTATTCTTCGTCCGGATATAACATTATTTTTGTCCATTTCCATAAAATCTTACACGTTGAATATCGTTTAATGTTGTTGATTGTTTGCAATGTTCCAAAGTTGTCATCATTGATTAATCTAAGCTAACTAACCATTTAAAATCAGTTACTATTTACTAGCCTTATTGTTTTAATTTAGTAATCTTTAATAGTATACATGCATAATTCCACAAAGTCAATTGAAAGTATGGCTGCGAGAATACTATAGTGTATACTACTGTTATCGACAGATATAAGTAGTATGTATCATAAATAGAAAGTGAAATGCCTGACGATAGAAGGTTGAGAAGATCAAAGAAGACAAAACAAGAACAGAGAATGATTGATGTAGAAACCAAAGGATTATCAAGTCTGAAACAATAGATTGACATTTTGTAAATGAAGTATTTAATGTATGGTTCTCAGATTTGACATTCGATTATTCCCCAGTTATGTTCTGATTCATTAGAACTACTACATTTTATTCAATTGAATTGTAATCTAATAATTTTTTATTTTATATGTAAAATGTTGTTTCTTCTCTTCTCTTATCAGGTATGGATACTCCATTTTATCATCAAAATAAAAAATTCAATCAACAAAATCATATACAATCTAATCGTGAATCACAAGATTCAACATCCATTTTAACCAGCTTTCCTATAGTGAATGAGGTCAGTATTATTAGTATATTGCTGTGCTTTATACCAGTTTATAAATCTTACCGTTCATGACAGAATCATTCCACATAATAAACGAACATACATGATGTTGTTCATTATTAGTTCTCTGTTGAATAGTGAATCGTAGAATCTACTACGTGAAGTTCCAAGTTCTTATGATAATGTATTACACTAAAAGTCTATATTAATAATAGGTGAATGGTGTTTCTACCCATTCAGAAATGATTGTTTACGATTTTGATACTTGTACATTGATCATTACATTAAAGCTTTACTTATCAAATCTAAACTCTATTGATTTCGTTTTAATTATGAATTTCGAAGAAAAAATCACAATGCGGTAGCACTATGATAATAACTTATGGAAAAAAAACTAAGCAGATGAAAAGTTTGGATTTTAAGATCTTTCAGGGAGGGGAGTTCTGAATTGCGAAAACGAATGTAGGATGATGAATTTAGTTTCATAAAGGAAGAATATGTTGAATGGGATACAATTGGTACAGTTTAATATTCTTAAGAGGAAGTTTTATGACGTTAGTTCATGGATACACTTGATAGATCTATTTATCAAATTCTACTTTAATCATATGATTCAATTTTTACAATAATATTCAACTACCTAGATTGATTTTGAATGACCCGACTAAATTTCAAAAACTCAACGATGTGAATGACATAAATATGAAAACAGAGAAATTGCTGACTAATTCACTCAAGGAATTAAAAAAAAAAATAAAAGAATACTTACTCCAAACATACACGATTCACTTTAACTCACTGGATCGAACACACCACGACTCTATGGTTTACCTAAAGTTCACAAGATTGGTCTTCCTCTTCGTACAGTTTTAGATATGTATAATTCGCCATACCATAAAACTTCAAAGTGGTTAGTTCGAATCCTAGATCCTTTACACAAAATAGTTGTCAACAGAAGCATGAAAGACGTTTTTGATTTCATTTCCAAAGTTGAACATATGAACTTAAATGGGGACCCGATGATATACCTAGATGTTACTTCCCTGTTTACCAATGTACCTTTAACTGAGACTATTGATTTATGTGCCAACAGCTACCTGAAAAATAAATCAATATCGGGATTCCTGGGGTTAGTCTCAAATAATTACTTCTAGAATGTGCAATAAATGTCCATTTTGTCTTTAATAACACATATTATAGACAAATTAATGGTATGGCAAACACCCTACAATCAAATTTACATGTGAAGAGGTATATCCCGACCGTTGTTGCTACCTTGACGTGGTGGTCGGGCTTGCCTATCGTTATGAAGCAACCGAGCTATACTGGCTGGAACAACCGTTCCTCGAGGTCCTACCATGTCAGACAGGTGGGTTGAAGAGCGGTAAGACTAAAAGCAACAAACCCAAGGTCCGAAGGCGAAGTCGTACTGCTGACTGTAGAGAGGTGTGACAGCAGTGAGGTGTTTCCTTCAGACAACCAGCATGACAACGATGCTGTCTTCCCACAAGGAGGGGTGAGGTTAGAAAAGGTCGACCCTAACAGTGTCACACCTCACTTTACCTCACGGATTTCTGTCTCTGGCAGTAAGGCCCTTTAAAGAACAGAGCTAACAAGTTAAAAACCTCCCAAAAAAGGCCGTGCGCGACCGGCCTCAAACAGTTGTCCCTTGGGCTCTGCGGTCACGCTCCCAGGTGGTTAAGGCCAACATTAACCCAACTTCCTTTTCAGGCTCCTCGAGAAATACCCTTCAACGGTGTGGGCAACCGGGAAGTGATAACCGCCCTTATACCTCTAAGAGCACCCAAGACCACTGTATTCATAATCAGCCTTCCTCTTCAATTCCTATTATTCCTCCTACATCGACTTTCAACTCTAAACTTCCTCTTTCGGCTTCCTCCTCAAGTGTCACCATAGCCAACGATTCTAGTGCTCAAAACTCTGTCCCAGGTCTACTGAAACCTCGCTCCAAACTACACATTGGAGCCTTCAACGTACGAACCCTATGTCAAATCGGTCAACAGATTTCCTTGGCTAAAACCCTAGAGTCTCTTTCCATTGATGTATGCTGTGTCTCTGAAACACGCATACAGGATTTCAGTGTGGTCATTCACTTGACCTCACCTCAGCAAAAGGGAGAGCCAACGAGATACACCCTCCGTGTATCTGGTGACCCGATGGCCAGTTCTCGTGGACTGGCAGGAGTAGGGCGGAACAGGCACTGTTAGAGTGGATCCCCGTCAACAGTCGTCTATGTGCTGTTCGGCTAAACGGTTCCGTAAGAAATCGGAAGGATAGGGACACACGTCGTTTATTAGTAGAAGGTTGTATAGAAAAAGTTCTTCATCAAGCCAATACACACATTTCTTAAGCTTTGTACTACTTCATTATAAGAGAAATTTAGTCAAATGTCTGGAAAATAGAGCTATTAATATATGCTCAGTCGATACAATTAACAAGAAATTAGAGATCATATATAATATGTTGATTGAAATGGGTTATCCACAGGGTTTCCTGAAGAAACACTTACGTGTAACAAACAAGAAAATAGCGACATCAACAGCTAGTGAGAAACCTCTCTTTTTGAATCTGCAATTCAATGGAGATTTAGTTGGTGATAGACTGACAAGGACACTGAAGAGAACGTTTAATGCACCCAACCTTTGTCTATCGTACTCGACCTGATCTATGGAGATTCCCCAACTTAAGGATAAGTTACCTGGTTATGCCACTTCTATGTGTATCTACGCATTCAGCTACTCCTGTGGGGAAAGCTATATTGGGTGCACTACCAGACAAGTAAAGCAGAGTTAGTGAACATCTCCCTTTTTGTTAATGAAAAGGTTCTGTCAAGTCAATACTCAGCTTGGTTCTATCACACTTGATCGATACTGGTCATATAGTAAACAGAAATAACTCATTTAAAAGTTATTTATCGTATTCCTACTAGTTTTCCTTAAGGTGTTCGATCTCATCTCTTACACATAGCAGAAGCTACAGGAATTCGAGTCAACAATCAATGTCTTTATGTTCATAAGAATATTGTAACACCCTTATCTCTCCCTTGGCCTTAATAAATGATTTTATTTATTTATTACTCTCTCTGTTTATTCTTTTTCACCCCCCCGTACAAATATACGTTTCACGCTCCAATTATCTGAACATTTCTTATTACGTAATCTTACAATCTTTCTATGAATGTTAATTCAATGTCTATAATTTTTTCTAATCATTAACCTATTTTCCATTTTGTAACTTTGATTCAAGACTTTATATTTCTGATCACAACTAGTACACTACCAATTTGTACTTTTCACTTATTATATTTAGTTAAGTAATCAATTCAGCGGTTATCACAGACTCATCAACTGACCTGATTGGCCTATTAAATATTACTGTAAATTAGAGTATAGCCTGATCTAATCAAAAACAACATTGATTGAGATCTTGAATTGATTGATATTGGAACACCATTGAAAACTTAGAAGCACTGGACGGCCGTTTCGTCCTATTAAGGGACTCCTCAGCAGTGCGCATCCACGATCCCACTCTCGGGATCTTATAGTAAGAAACAACGGTCGTCCAGTGCTCTCAGGTTTTCAATGATGGTCCAACCCTATACTATATATATAGTTCTAAATCATTACAACTGAGCATATAACTGATAAAAGTGTAATGTATTAGGTTTTTCTCATATAAGTGGATATTTCATTTTGTCCATAAATTTTACATGTACTACTTTTTTTTAAATACAATTAAATAGAAAAGAAGAAAATTCGAATATGATTTAGTGGTATGTTACTTGACTAGTTGTAAATTTATCCATATTTAAATAACTATGCGTAAAATGTCATTCTGTTTAACTTGTAAAGGCTAAGTTCCTCTATATCTGACTCCAATAAATAGTATCCCATTAACTGAGTATTTAATGAAAGATAAATCTCCTAGTAGAATGATGGATTATTCAAGATTATTCAAAAGCTTGAACACCAGTTATAGATATAGTTTATTGTTAAAGATTGGTAAAATCCACAAGCGTATAGGAAGCAAGCACACAGGGAAACCAAGTGTGTGTGTGTGTGTGTTAAAAACCATATATATTTTATCAGAAGGGGTTTGTGGCAATTTTAGAAATTTCACAGATTGAAATCATGAGTCAGTTGAAGCCAGACCACCATGGAGAATCTGGAAGCACTGGGTGGCCGTGTCATCCTGGTATGGGACTCCTCAGCAGTGCGTATCCACGATCTCGCACCCCGCGGGGTTCGAACCCAGGACCTACTGGTTCCGCGCGCGAGCACTTAACCATCAGACCACTGAGCCGGCATCCAACGGTGTTAATGTCTAACTTCAACCAATCCACGAAGTTGTACCACCATGCACCATTGTCTTCAGTGAGTTGATATCTCACAACAGACCTGGTTGAACTCCACTTGTAACGGCTTCCCACTAGAACTCCAGGAGTATCTCTTGAAGTCAGTCACTAATGAGCAGATGATAATTAGCAGAAGGGGTTTGTGAAGATTTTAGAAATTTCATAGATTGAAATCATGAGTCAGTTGAAGTTAGACCACCATATATATTTATGAGTGTTAATCAAGTATGGATAAATTAAAATAATACATTAGTTGAATGGGCTTACTACAAAATCTCTCCCTCTATCTCTATTCTTTACTGTTTTGTTTATGAATTGAGTTGATCCGTTATTTTGTTTGATTCATGTTCTCATCGTATGGAATATACATAGTTACTATATGCATCTACCGATCGACTTCATAACTGGATACAAATCTTGATCTATTCTCTGTTCAATTACTTAAACCGATTTTCGATGAGGAAGATTATCAGAACTATTTGATAATATATATTAGCGCAATACATTTCGAACAATTCGATCATGCATATACTTGTTAAGATTTATATGTAATTAAATGACTGCAGAAACAAATAGAATCAAATGACCGAATAAGGGTAGAGGATAAACATCCATCATCCTCTATTGCTGAACAAATAAGTAAAACAGGTCATTAGATTGATCTTAACTCAGCTTTTGTGGTGTTGTACAAAAGTGTAAAAGGACGTATACTAAGGTTTATTGAAGGCTTAGTCATACGAAGATTCAAACCCCCTCTGTGTATTCAAAAAACAGTTTGTTCTCACTTTAAACCTACCCAGATAATATTAGCTTATTATTCAAAGTGATGATAAGGTTTCAAATCATTTTCACATTATTGCTTTATTATCCTTGTTTTCTTTTATACCTTTCATTTCTAGTCTAGTTAACTTAACAAGCGTATATGTGATCAGATTGTTCGAAACGTACTGCGCTTATAGCCCATCACGTAGTTCTGATCACTTTCGTCTTCTTATTACACTATCGAAATTTATCAAAGGGATTAATTGCTTTAAACTGATTTTGGCATAATGTAGCTTACGAATCTGTAGTCTGTTTAATTGAAAATTCGAATACTACTTAAGACCAATAAACTGTTGATCTTACTTAAATCTAGTGTGAAAACAAAAACTATCTTGTTTTTATTTTCGTCATATTCGTAGGGATTACTTACAATCTGGTTATTTTTTAATCAACTAAACTATCATTGAAGCAGTTCAATTGTACCTTCTTCCTTGACTCATCATCATAATTTATAAACAATACACTTGATAATGTAATTTATGTATTTTGGAAATGCAACGACTCTTTTTTTATTGTCTATTTTATAGTGTGATGTGGATATCAACAAGGAACCGTGGTTTCATGGTGTTTTGCCTAGAGCAGAGGTGGAACGGTAAGTTTATCACAAAAAAATCTTATAGATGGTTTATTCAATGAATGGCTGAATCGAACTTGTAAGGTTGTGATTGTGACGGATAACCACTAACCTTCTGTTTATACTAAATATTTGTAATATGTTGCCTTTTTTATTTGCTTATGATCAATTAACATAAAGTAACAAATCAACCGAAAAGCCTAATATATGATGACTTTGAGGGGGTGTTGTTAGCTACGTAGACAGATGCTGGACATTAATATTCCCACAGACGTAGAATATTTTGAATCGGGATATAGGTTGATGTAGTTTAGAGTTTTAATGATTTCATTTTGTATGTATTTACTATAGGAGATGACCTCATAGTCAGTCAGTCATTCAGCTACAACGTACGAGATTTACAACCTCATCGATTGATTTACCATCATTCCCTTATACCCTGTGTCTAACCTCACTATTACTCACCCGGTGATCCTAGCAGATGCTGGTAATACTTCTAAGGCATCTGTGTTCAAATATCAGTAAGGAGTATCTTCTACTCTTAATGGTCACGTTTCGCAGCCGTAAAGTAAAACAGAACGAACCGTTGTGCAGTATACTCGTCCTTTAATCGATAGACGGATATCTTGCCCTCGTCATAGATGACGTAACTTGGCAAAAGCCAAATGAGCTTTTCGAATCCGTGCAGAGACTTCGTCAGACATCAACTCGTTAGGGCTGATCAGATTTCCAAGATAAGTAAAGTTGTCAACCCGTTTGACTACTTTACTCCTTGTTCTTAGTTGAAGTGTTAACGCAGACCAGTCCTGAAGCAACAACTTGCATCTGGAGGGATAGAAGGGCATCCCAAAGATTCTGGCATTTTTGCTCCAAAAACTCTGCATTTTGTCAGCATTTTCACCAAACAGGACTATATCATCTGCGTATTCTATGTCGATAAGTGGATCTCCTGGTAGGAGATCAATGCCTTGTTATTGACTTTTCGTTATTTATATTAAATACGTCACGTATGATTTAGTTTTTCATAATTGAATTCATGAGTCAATTAAAGGTAGATCACCATAGAAAACCTGGAAGCATTGGATGGCCGTTTCATCCTAGTATGAGACTCCATAGCAGTGCGCATCTACGATACCGCCCCATGAGATTCGAACCCAGGGCCTATCAGTCTCGCGCGCGAATGCTTACCCTTTAGACCACTCAGCCGGCATTCAACAGTGTTAATGTCTAACGGAATTACTCCACTGTCTTCAGTGAGTTACCATCTCACAACAGACCTGGTTGAACTCCACTGGTCACGGTCATCCAGTGCTTCCAGGTTTTCCATGGTCGTCTTGCTTCAATTGACTCATGAATTCAATTATTAATGTAGTTTTCCATTGTTAGTGTTATTTTAGCGTGTTTTTTTAATGAACTTGAAGTACAATAATATGGTCTGGTTTTATTGATTTACCGATTACAAGATGTGCTTTTTTTCTTATTGAAGGTGTGACTTTTACCCCATTGTATGTACTACGACAATATAAGATTTTTACTGTTGTAAGCCTACATATATAATTTATATTTCTATGTTAGATCACTTACTGGAATAGTTACATATATTTACTTATTAATTTATTGAATATTAGAATTATGATTGTACTTGTAATAGTACTTGGACGTGTGAAACAGTAGTGTTTGCATGTTTGAATAATAAAAATCAATGCTTCTTTTGGAGTTACTGTCACTCACTCACTCACTCACTCACTCACTCACTCACTCACTCACTCACTCACTCACTCACTCACTCACTCACTCACTCACTCACTCACTCACTCACTCACTCACTCACTCACTCACTCACTCACTCACTTATTCATTCATACTTTGCTATTCTTGTTCTGAATAGATTATATATTATTCAGATATCTATTTAGAACATGATGTTAACTGATTAATGCTGGGACAAGTATCAACATGACTACAATCACGACTACGAGCCTTCCCTACCCCCTTTTTTTTCTTTCTTTTGAATTCTTCACAATTTTCTTCGTCTACTTTACATGTACTTTACTGTATTGTGGAATATTTTTCTTTTCTTTTTTTCACATAGAAAATTAAATTCTTGTTCATTTTTCATTAAGGACACATTGTGAATTCTTTTTGATAAAAAAAAGTGTTGGGAATCTTAATTTTGAAATAAAAATGGAATAGATTTTCATTGGACACAGATTATTGATTGGTAACAATGAACCAACAATCAATAAAATGAAAACACCATAATGAGTTATCATTTCATATGAAATTAAATCCTTTTGTGTTATAACTTGTTGACTTAGAATATGCCGATGACATGATTCTATTTGGTGAAGACGCTGACAAAATCCAGAGTCTTCTGACCACTCTAATCAACAATGCAAGCATGTTCGGCATACGATCCCTCCCCCAAAATGCAAAATTTTACTTCAGGATTGGGTTGCATAGACACCCGAACTAATGATAGAGAGTGATGTAGTCAAGCGTGTCGACCGCCTCACTTTTCTGGGAAGTCTCATCAGCCCTTGTGGTCTGGTGTGTGACGAAATCTCACCACGGATACCGAAGGCTCGACTAGCTTTTGTCAACTTGCGTCATTTATGGCGTAGACGAGATATCCGTCTATCAACTGAAGGACGGGTTTACTGCGCAGCAGTTCGTTCCTTCCTACTTTATGGCAGTGAAACGTGGCCGGTAAGAGTAGAGGATATTCGTAGGTTACTAGTATTTGATCATAGGTGCCTTCGAAACATTGCTCGTATATCCAGGGACCACCAAGTAAGTGATGCAGTTGTTAGGAAACGAGTACTAGGTAAGGATGGCAAATCGATTGATGAAGTGATGAAACTTCATGAGTTGAGATGGCTGGGACACGTGTTACGTATGCCCAACCACCGACTGCCTCGACGTGCTACGTTTTATAGTGTAGGAGTGGGTTGGAAGAAAGCTAGGAGCGGCCAGACCAGAGCATTGCACAAATCCATGAGGTCACCGACAAGTGGACTGAGTCATATTGGTAGGTGTATACTACCTGGTTGGGGACTGCGAGATGAAAGCAACCGATGGTTAGAGACCTTGAATGACATGGCTCAAAATCGTTTGCAATGGCACGGGTGCATCCACTCTTTGTGTTCTCTCAAGTTCTAATCTTCTGAATATCGTACCTCCCTTTTTTTCTCTTTCAAAATTTATTTCACTGGACTGTACTCTTTAAATAACATCTTCAAACCCTAATCTTTCCGATTACTGCTTGTACTCTTACCACCTCTACCACTACAGGATTTGAATCGACAACTGCATCTCTGTGCTAATGTGGTGTGGCAACTCAAAGTAATGTGCGTACGTACGAAGTTGTACATTGTTGCTGACTGACTAACTGACTTATAACGTACAGTCTAGTGCCCCTATCAATTTATAATCTAACGATAACGCCAATTACAGAATTGTTACTTATCGATCGGTCTGATGACGCATAAAACCCATATGAGCAGTCTAAAATCCTTCTTGACTAGCCGTTCCTGCCTGTTGAGTCCAGATCACCAATCTCAGCCTCAGGGATATGAATCATGTATTTCAAATGTACTGGGTTTATATTCAAACCAAAGACACCACATCGTACTATGAAATTGAAAATACACATTTGTACACGATTTAGCCAAATGTAGTTATGAATTTAGGAGACTGTGATGAATAGACAGAGCATAACTCAAAGAATGGTAAATCGTATAATAATCATCGATGGGTCAAAATAAAGCTTATAATAAGAGGAACATGAATATGAATAGTTTAATTGCATTGTAATTATACAATAAAAATTCATGTATAGGATTATTCCTTAAATGCTTCACAACAGTTACCATTCATAATTCTCATTGGGATATAACAATCTGTTATGAAGTAGTACACTAATAGTTTAACTATTAAATTTTCTTATGGCTTTAAGTATCAACAAACTTGTATTTTGTGCAGAATTCTGACCTTTTTTTACTTGAATTTATAAAACAATAGTAGCTAGCATAACTATTTATGAACTGTTCAATGAACAGTTGCATTGTAGTGTGTGCTACTGATGTCGATAGATATGAGTAGTATGTATCATTAATCGAAAGTGAAGTACTTGACATCGGAAGGTTAAGAAGATCGAAGAAAAGGGAATGAAAACAGATAATGATTGCTGTGGTACTGAAGGAACTATGAAGTCTAAGACGATTGATTGACATTTTGCAAATGAATTGTTTACTGTATGGTTCTCAGATTTTACTAAAATACATACGTTTGTCCCTAATTGTGTTCTCGTCCACTACAGTATCACATGTGGTACCCTTATTTATTCTAAACTGCAGTATTTTATTGATAATACATTCTAATCTGTGTTGAGTGTGTAGAAGAGAAAGTGACTTCATAATTTGGTCGCAAACGTCTTTCGGATGGTTCACTTGTTATAATAACCTTTTCCCTTGTTATATTTTTATATGAAAATTGAAATCACTAGTTTTATCGTACCGCATTCTTTCTTGCTATTAAAGTCTTTTACAGAATCAAGGGGATTTCCTTGTTCGACAAACAAGTAAACGTTCCAGTGGGCGTGATACCTTAGCCCATTGGAATGGAACTAATGGGGATTCAATCAATGGTAATCATAACGAAACAGTATTAAATAAAGATCATAATATTGATGGGACTGTTTTACGTATGGTTTTATCTGTCTTTTGGCATGGTCATAGACATTTTATTGTATATGGTGGACCAGATTCAGGTGAAGGTTGGCATTTAGAAGATGGTCATTTCTCTACAATAAGGTAAGTAGTAGTCATTTTTCTAGTATAGTCTTTTCTAGTTTCCAGTGAACATAAAACTTTGCTTATTAGCGAAAATATATCTGGCATCAAACTGTTGGTGTTTCCCATCCATATATTTTAGTAAATTATGATATGTTTTCTTTAGAAACCTCTACTTTTATTGATATTGTTATCGACAAGCTGTAAGGAATGTGACCGCAGTTAGCAGCTGTTTCCATACTACACAATCAAGTTATTTATTACGTTTTTAGCGTTTAGTTGTATAAAAATCATATGCAAAACGAAGAAAAAGACTTTTATCATAATCAGTTTCCAACCAGATACTATACCTGGCTAACGTGTTTTTAAATTTTTATATACGAGATGGATATGTGAACAAATATAGTATGCAATCTGAGTTACGGAGTGTTTTACCTGTCGCATCCTAACTTAAAAACATGTAAATATTAGCTACTTGTTTACCAAGTTTTGTTGTCTTTTCATCCAGTGTGAGTATTACTTTCATGTTCAATAAACGTAATTTCACCCCTATTTTCTGTTTAAGAAGTATGTCATCTCATAGAGAAATAGCACAGTAATGTGTGTTCTAATACTAAGCTTTATCAACACAACAGGCGCTTCATAATCCCACATAACCCATGCTACCGACTACCAACTAGCACGCTAACTAACACACAAATAAAATGAAAATGATGATGTTTAATGAAGACTCTATTCTCACTTCGATTAACAGTCAAACAGTTCACACTATTATTATTATTACTATTGTTATTATTATTATTTACTACGTCATTTACTCAATCTCTGTATTCCCACTTTATGTATCCTTATTTTTCGACTTATACAGCAGCTCGCCTATGGTGGAAACTCGGTTCTGTCTAAACGTTCTCGAGTCATTGCCTGGTTGAAAATTGTATGCTACCACCAAATACGAATACTGAAGCAGTTTTTCTGAAACCACGCGCACCATTTGAACTGGCTGCCTTCAACGTTCGCAAGTCGGACAATAAATAGGGCTGGCTATGTTTTTGGAAAGTCTTAATATCAACGTTTGTTGTCTATCCGAGACCCGTATTCAAGACTGGTGAAGTACTACAAATTCGCTCTCCATCTGTCGCTTCAAAAAGCTTGTTTTACGTGCGTTTATCCAGGGACCCTGTGGCATCTTCGTCTAGTCTTGCTGGCGTTGGTGTCGCATTAAACGCTAGAACTGAGGCAGTACTAATAGATTGTCTATTGAAGAAGGGTGTGCCTGAGAAGTTTATTAGCATCTTAAAGGCCCTATTTACAAACACCTCAGGTAGAGTGAGAGCATACAGCCACCTTTCTCCATTGTTCTATTCAAGCAGTGGGGCTAGACAGGGTTTTCCAATCTCACTATTGCTCTTCAACTTTGCCATCGATGACTTTTCAACCTTGAGTATGTGGATGATATTGTCCTACTGTGTGATAATGCCCAAGGCATGCAATGCGCACTTAATCAGTTGGCAATCAGTGTCCGTAGCTACGGTATGTGCTTTGCACCTTCGAAGTGCAAAGTACTTCTACAAGACTGGCAGGATTCTAATCCTGCACTCACTCTGGATGGTGAACAGATAGAAGTAGTCGAGAAGTTCGTGTATTTGGGTAGCTGCATAAGTGCTGGTGGGGGTGTGAGTGATGAGATCAATGCACGAATAGTGAAAGCCAGAGCGGCTTATGCCAATCTGGGCCACCTCTGGCTGTAAAAGGTCGGGTCTACAACGCGTCGGTGAGAGCAGTTCTGCTCTATGCTTGTGTAACCTGGCCTCTCCGAGTTGAGGATGTTAGACGACTCTCTGTGTTCGATCATCGTTGTCTCCGAAGGATTGCTGACATTCAGTAGCAACACCATGTCAGTAATGCAGAGGTTCGGCATCATGCGTTCTGGCACAGAGATGATAATTCAATTGGTGTCACCATCTTGAAACACCGACTTCGGTGGCTTGGACATGTTCTCCGAATGTCGTTCCATAGAATTCCACGTCGTGCATTATTTGCCGACTCTGGGACTGGTTGGAAGAAGCGGAGAGGTGGTCAGTGCATGACATGGTGTCGTGGTATGAAAGAAAGCTGCAAAGGACTGGCTTGTGTCGGTCCTTCACGACTCCCTGGTTGGGGTCTGAGAGATGGTGCAACACAGTGGCTAGAGACGTTATCAGATATGGGTCAGAATAGAAGCCAGTGGCGATCCTTCTGTAACCTTCTTCATAAAAAAGTGGTTGCTTCTTCCTTAACTGAAAGATCTCTTCTGATTGTACCTTTCCGTTTCCCCTATTTTTATTAATATTATTATTATTATTATTATTATTATTATTATTATTATTATTATTGCATTACCCATAACAAGGTCGTGTGTGACCGACCTCAAGCAGTTGTCCCTTGGGCACTGCGGTCACGCTCTCAGGTCACTAAGACCACCTTTAATCCAAATTCCTTTTCAGGTACCTCCAGAAGAACCCTTCGACGGTGTGGGCAACTGGGAAGTGAAAACCGCCCTCATACCTCTAACAGCACTCAAGACCACTGTATTCATAATCAACCTTCCTCTTCAATTCCTATTATTCCTCCTACATCGACTTTCAACTTTAAATTTCCTCTCTCGGCTTCCACCTCAAGTGTCACCATAGCCAACGATTCTAGTGCGCAAAACTCTGTCCCAGGTCTACTGAAACCTCGCTCCAAACTACACATTGGAGCCTTCAACGTACGAACCCTATGTCAAATCGGTCAACAGGTTTCCTTGGCTAAAACCCTAGAGTCTCTTTCCATTGATGTATGCTGTGTCTCTGAAACACGCATACAGGATTTCAGTGTGGTCATTCACTTGACCTCACCTCAGCAAAAGGGAGAGCCAACGGGATACACCCTCCGTGTATCTGGTGACCCGATGGCCAGTTCTCGTGGACTGGCAGGAGTAGAGGTAGCACTAAGCATGAGGGCGGAACAAGCACTGTTAGAGTGGATCCCCGTCAACAGTCGTCTATGTGCTGTTCGGCTGAACGGCTACGTAAGAACTCGGAAGGATAGGGACAAACGTCGTTACCTTTTTGTCGTTTCTGCCTACGCTCCCACTGACTGCAGCTCAGATGATGTGAAAGATGAATTTTACAGAAAGCTCTCTGAACTTCTTCAGAAAGCTAAACGCTCAGACATAGTACTCGTAGCAGGTGATTTTAATGCTCAGATAGGCAGTTTAAACCAAACAGAAAGGCATTTAGGTGGATATTTTAGTATTCCGACACAGCGAACAGATAATGGTGATCGTCTGCTGCAGCTATGCTCAGACAATCGTTTATTTTTAGCAAACACAAATTTTAAGCATAAGGAGAGACATCGTCTAACATGGCGACCCCCTACACCAAACCAACGATGGACTCAAATAGACTATATTGCCATCAGTCATCGTTGGAGAGGGTCGGTAGAAGATTGTCGCTCATTCTGGAGTACCTGCTTGGACTCCGACCAGGCCCCAATATGGGCACGCATCTGCTTGCGCCTCACTGGACGCAAAAAAGCCAAAGTAAAATGACCCATTAGAAGTGAATTGAGTAGCGAGAAAACCAAAAGTAGGTTCCAGGAACAACTGAGGTCACACTTAGGTAGTTGTGAAGACGAGGCTGACCCAGATGTTGCTTGGAAAGATATACAAGCAGCTGTGGAAATAGCAGTGACATTTACTAGTGATTTAGGCCACAGGGTTACAAAGAACCAATGGATTACTTTCAAGGTCTGTCACACTGATGGATTCTCGCAAACTCGTCCCATCAGGTTCTGAACATGATGAAGAGCGTAAACAAATCAGATCTAGGTTAAGAAAAAGTCTAAGAAACGACCGTGAGCAGTGGTGGGCATCGAAAGCAAAAGAGATGGAAAAGGCGGTGACTATAGGGAACACAAGACAGCTTTACAGACTAATAAAAGAAACTGGAATTAATAAGTCAAGTGTAAGTGGGATTATATCGGAAAAAGACGATACTCTCATCTGCTCCAAGTCCAGGCGTTTAGAAAGATGGGCGGAACACTTTAGGGAACAGTTCAGCTGGCCTTCAGCTACTCTACAACTACCCTCCATTCCCAGACAGTGTGAATGGAACATTGAAGTAGGTCCCCCGACTCTTGCTGAAGTTCAAAAGGCTATAGTTAATCTGAAACGAGGAAGGGCAGCTGGTCCAGATGGATTGGCTCCAGAGGTCTTTAAGGATGGTGGTCCAATTTTAGCGATTAGGTTGACTAATATTTTAGCTAAGATCTGGGAATTAGACTTTATCCCATCTGACTGGTCGCAATCACTTATCGTCCCAATATATAAGAAAGGGTCAAAATTATCCTGTGACAACCGCAGAGGGATTAGTTTAACAAACATAGTATCTAAAATACTGGCCTCGGTAATTATCAAACGCCTAACTAAGACTCGTGAACTACAAACTCGAGAGAACCAAGCTGGCTTTAGACCTGGTCGTGGCTGCATCGACCACATATTCACCATTCGTCAGGTTCTAGAACACAGGCATACCTATCGGCGTCCGACGATGGTGGTATTTCTTGACTTAAAAGCAGCATTTGATTCTGTAGACCGCGAGACTCTGTGGCAGTGTCTGTCTTTGAAAGGCGTACCTCAGAAGTACATAAACCTTGTGAAGGCTCTTTACTCGAACACTACTAGTCGAGTCAGGGCTTATGGCGAACTGTCATCTACTTTTGCAACCTCAAGTGGTGTCCGTCAAGGCTGTCCACTTTCTCCATTTTTGTTTAACTTCATCATAGACCTATTGATGGAAATAACACTCTCGTCGACTGAATTCTCGGGTATTGATCTCCTTCCAGGAGGTCCACTTATCGACTTAGAATACGCAGATGACATAGTCCTGTTTGGTGAAGACGCTGACAAAATGCAGAGTCTTCTGGTAGCACTAAGCAACAATGCCAGAATGTTTGGGATGCGCTTCTCTCCCTCTAAATGCAAGTTGTTGCTTCAGGACTGGTCTCCGTCAACACCTGAACTAAGGATAGGGAGTGAAGTAGTTGAACGCGTTGACAACTTCACTTATCTTGGAAGTCTGATCAGCCCTAATGGGTTGGTGTCTGACGAAATTTCAGCACGGATTCGAAAAGCTCGTTTGACTTTTGCCAACTTACGTCACCTTTGGCGAAGGCGAGATATCCGTCTATCAATAAAAGGACGAGTATACTGCGCGGCAGTCCGTTCTGTTTTAATTTACGGCAACGAAACATGGCCATTAAGAGTAGAAGATACTCGTAAGCTACTAGTATCTGACCACAGATGCCTTAGAAATATTGCTGGCATCTGCTGGGATCACCGGGTAAGTAATAGTGAGGTTAGACGCAGGGTATTAGGGAATGATGGTAAATCAGTTGATGAGGTTATGAATCTTCATCGACTGAGATGGTTGGGCCACGTATTACGTATGCCTGAACACCGATTACCACGACGTGCAATGCTAACCGGTGTAGGGGATGGTTGGAAGAAAGTTAGGGGCGGCCAAACCAAAACGTGGCATCAGTGCCTGAAGTCACTAACTTCTAGTCTGAGCCATGTTGGTAGATGCAGACTACTTGGTTGGGGTCCGCGTGACTTTCGTAACCAATGGTTGGAGACTCTTGGTGACATGGCTCAGAATCGATCACAATGGCGTCGGTGTATACACTCCCTGTCTTCCCTTAAACTAAGAGACTAAAATCACTTCATTCTTTCTGTCTACGAACTAATTCTTTCTTCCTATACTATATCCTTATTGCAACCTTTGACCTAACCACTCCTATGAATCCGCTGTTCATATTGCTGTGCTAATGAGGTATGGCAACCTGGACCGATGTACATATGTGCCTGGTCCTACGTTGTAGCTGACTGACTGACTGACCTTGCACTAATCTGGTCGTTATTGTTCTTTTTTTCTCTTAAGCTCCTTACCTTCTTTTTTTCTCTTCCCATTCTCATTTTTTGTGTGGCGTATATATATTTGGTGTACTCTTGTACCAAAATTTATGTGTTCAAATAAAAACATTGATCCATGTCTTAAAGAGACGTTTTTCACTACTCAGTGGACATTCATAATGAGTATTTTTAGGTCAGTGATGATTACTACTAGTAAGTAGCTTAGTGTTTCCTTCGAAATGTGTTCGGTGTGATTTGAGTTCGACAATAGCGGATCTATGTATTGTTCGTAAACAAATTAGTACAAAAAGTTTTCAATCATTTAAGTAATATTATTGGTGAACGTGTGTTTCGGAGATGGATCCTAGCGATCTTGCGAAAGTTGGATGAGGCCCTAACATATTTATTTTTGACATCCTCTGTGTAATTAGCAAAGATTTTTTTTGTTAAGTTTATTATCAGCTCTGAAAATTTCCCTTGAATAATCACATTTGGTGTTTGGTTAATAACTAAAATTTTACAGGGAACTAATTGAATATCATATGAAAACTCAAACTCCCGTGACAGCTAAATCAGGTGCATGTCTTATTACACCAATTTCAAGACCTGATTGGGAACTAGACAATCGTGATGTACAACTACTACAAAAAATTGGTCAGGTATGTTTTTAGACATTGTAACTCATAAGTTATTAATCGATTTAAATAGTATCATTCTTATGTTTATTATTTTGTAAAGTTTTCATATTATGGAATAGATGAGAAATGTTACACTTGCTTAGATTGGTTACAATTGTTTGGGCAGTATTGCACGTATTTAACGGTAACTTCAAGTCAGACACATGAACTCTTAGCCTAAGTTATTACGTAACAGTGCCAAGTCAGTCTCAGTCTGAATTTTCATCGATTAGGGTTATTGGTATATGTTCTAAACATGTTTACCCTCTGTCTACTGTGACGCATAATGTCTGTGTTTTAAATTTCGAAACAAGATTTTTTTCATGTTGGCGATCTGAATTAAGGATTAGGGTTCTTTGTTTATTTTCACATTATCTCGTTATCGAAAAAAATAATTCTATAGCGTAACTGTGAAAATTACACACGTCTCCCGATCTTGTTTGAATGTCTCTAATCACATATGTTAATTTTTGGTTGTACTTCAACAAAGGGAACACCTGATTCCAATCGCTTTTCAATTACACACATGCCCTTAAATGCCCTGGTAGGGCCGAGAGTGGGGAGAGTCCGCTCTCCCTCTCGAAATGCTCTCACATGGCCACGCGTATACAGCCTCAGCCAGGGAAGTCCTACTTACTGGCTTCTCGTGGAGGAAGTGTTGTTTACGAAAATGAGAGGACGAAAAGCGAACGTCCGGCGCTCTAACCGGGTTAGTGGACATGGAGAGTTCACTTAGGGAAGTTGGAAAACCCTGATTCCAAACCAATGGTGCACATGGTCTTCAGTATCCTTGAGGAATAAATGGCGTATGAACCAATCGTTGGTCACCGGCTACCATGGACTGCATCTCATTACGATGCTCCACTGCCTTGTGTATCAGACCTTCAGATCAAAGGCTCCGGGTGTTGTCTTCTAAGAAATCCACCTGTTTTGGTTTGAGCACCCAGGCATTATCACAGCCCCCAGACGTATCAAATGAGATTTGTGTGGCGCATATGTATTTGGTGCCTCCTTGTACTAATATCTAAGTGTTAAAATAATAATAATGATTCATGTGATATAGTGTATTGCTTATTTTATTCTACATCTCGTTTTTCACAGGGTAATTTCGGTGATGTTTACCGAGGTGTATATAATGGAAATGAAGTTGCAGTGAAAACTTGTCGTGTCGATATGACAGCATCAGATTTACGTAGAAAATTTCTCCAAGGTGAAACAACTGCTTTAAATTTCAATCATCCAAATATTGTCAAATTAGTTGGTATTGCAGTTCAATCTTATCCAATTATGATTGTGATGGAGTATGTTCCAGGTTAGTGAACTTGGCATGTTTTTCATGAATTCTAGCATATCACTTATGTTAATTTGTTATTCTTACTACTTACTAGCTATAAGTAGTTACGTTTTCAAACGATAAGGGTTTTAGTATGTGAATTGACAGTATTTTGTGGTTGGACATTAACAGTGTTATACAATCGTAAGAAATTTTTGTGAATAACTTATCTCCTATTCTACTAAGCAGTGAACTGTTTTAAATCACTCGAAAACATACATTGATCAACGTTATCTTCTTTCATGATTGAATCTGTCAATAAGTCATAAACGATATTGCAAGCACTTCGTTCTGTCTTACATTCTGACTGTGACATATATGAAACTAGTATTTGATCATAAATGTCTTTGAAAGGCCAGCGGAGTATGCTGTAGCCATCGGCTTAGAAGCTTTTGGGTTACTGTTAAAAAATACAAAATGGTTGATGATGTAACAGATCTTCAGCAACTGATGTGTTAAAATATGTATTACGCATATCCAACGACCATCTACCGTAAACGACGTTCACTGGTCTGCAAGTGGATTCGAAAAAACATGGAGACGATAAGTTAGTAGCTTCATGTCAGCTCATGAATTCACTGAAAGTTAGTTTGAACCATATTGATAGATGCGCACTATAGGGTTACATTCCCTCAACTTTCTCAACCAACTGTTATAAAAATTGTGTGCCATGTTTGAAAATCGGTTAAAAAAATAGCGTAAAGATAATTGATATTTGCTTTACTCAGGAACTTTAATTTCGAAACCCTTTTCTACTTCTTATCACCCTAATAAATTCTGATCATAATCACACGATCTATTTCTAACTTTTTTTTGCTATCATGGTTTTAATGTGGTGTCGTAACAGGGACTTTTGCATTTATATACTGAACTATTACGTTGAATTTGGCTTGGACATCTTTGGAAGTGGAACAAATATGGTTTCTTAAAAGATAAGTGACAGGAATGCTATTGTTTCAGTAAGGATGAAATGAATTTATAATTAGGCGAATGAATTTTAAAGTTAGCTTATGAATGTCAATACTGCAATACATATATATTCTACCAACTGGTTCCAAATAGAATGCAATACTTTCATCGAATTCCACTTATATCTACAGTTCAGAATTCAACTTAAACTATGAAACTATAGGTAGTACCTGGTTTTATGTCAAATTTCCACGTATGCTGTAGCTGACTTATATAATCTTGCATATCAACAACGGGAAAGTGTGAACGCTTTGCGAGGGAATTACTGTAAAATTCAGGTGAAACTGCTATTGTGATTAGGTTTTTTTTCTTGTTATTTCATTCTCTGGGCTTTCACTATCTTTCTGGGCAATATTATCAGCACAGATGTCAAATGGAAGTGAGTTATTCACTTAACAACACCACTGCCATCATTCTATGCTTACCTTTTTTGTGTATATCATATCACACTACTTAATACTACTTAGTAGTGAACGTATGTAGATTAGACTTTTCTAAACCTTATATAACTATCTATCTGTTACTATGTTCATATAGGTAGACATATGCAACTACATATTCATTTCATTGAAAGGATCATTTTAACTCTCTTTCTTTGATAAGTTACCGATTCATATTATTCTAATCTATTGATTTCTTTTTGTATTCATTGTAAAGGTGGTTCTCTTTTAAATCATTTACGTAAATCAAAAAATGCATTGCCTGTTATGAAACTACTTCAAATGAGTTTAGATGCTGCTAATGGAATGATGTATTTAGAAGCGAAAAATTGTATTCATCGGTAAGTTTTATTTTACTCTCATTTCATATCAATACAAAACTTCATATTTGATAAATTCAATCCCGATGATGGTTATAAACAGATTGATTGTTGTGGTACAACTAACATCCTCCTATTACCTGTAGTGTTTTAGAGTATGCGTTCTTTAATAACTTTCAAGGGGGTAGATTCGATGGAAATGAATTCATTTTGAACTCTGAGATGCAGGTACATCCAGATGATGAGTCCCAAATGGGACGAAACGCGCGTCCTGGATTCCACTGCTTACAAAATACCAAGACTACATTTTGAATAATTTTCTCTGGTTAGAGTTTTTTTAGCGAGTTAGTTTTCTACGGGATGAGGTCGCTAACCCCATTCCCAACTCTCTGCTTTTATCCGAGCTTGGGACAGACAGTAGCCCCGAAGGGGCTCTAGACGGACCTTGGTAATTATTCACTTATCAACCTTGGCTGTTTTTATATGAGCGTTTGTGTGTGTATTTCTTATCCTACCTATCACATATCTGTAGCTTATTTTTTGTGTGACTATAAATATCGATTCACGCTTGGCTAAATCAATCTGGCTCATTCGCCTTCTCCACTGTGGTTCATTTTGCTTCACTCTCTTCGCTTCGTTTTCTGGATCAACGATTGTATGAAATATACACATTCGAAATCCATTCTCCTATATGATTTAATTAATTACGTTATTCACTATCTCGAATTAAGTCGATGATTATATACGAGGATTAGCGACATGTATATTTCAATAACTATTAATCATACGATCTAAATGGATTGAGATCTATGGCTACTAAAAATCTATTCAACAGTGTTGGTGTTTTGGTGGAATCTCATTCAGTCTTAATCACGATAGAATATGGAGAAGAGTGACTACTTGAAACTCGGTTTGAATATTGAAATTTTGTTTACAGTGTATGCGATAATCATCAAGTTTAACCACTTTATCCCTAGTATTAGCCATGTTGGTAGATGCCGACTACATGGTTGAAGTCCGTGTGACTATCGTAACCAATAGTTGGGGACTCTGTGTGACATGGCTCAGAATCGATCACAGTGGTGTCATTGTATGCACTTTCTATCTTCCTTGAAACTATGAGATTAAAGTCGCTTCATATCTTTCTACGAATTAATTCTTTCTTCTTGTATTATATCCTTATACACAATCTATCTGTATTAAAACAGTGATTTAGCAGCAAGAAATTGTTTAATTTCTGATGATGGTCAATTAAAAATAGCTGATTTTGGCATGTCGAGAGAAGAGCATATATATGAAGTAAGTTGAATAAATAGATTTATGCATTTATATAATATCGGTGTTCATAAATCTCATTTTTCATCAAATACATATATTATTTATTTAAAAATAAACATACAAGGAGGCGACGAATACATATGCCCAAACCAAAGCAAATGATTTTCTTAGGAGGCCATTCCCCGAGCCTTTGACCTATAGGTCTAATCCACAAGGCAGTGAGCAACGTAGGTAGATACAGTCACATGCTAGCAAGTGACCGACTATTAGTTCATACACCTTCTCATCCCTCGGCACCCTGGAACCCATATGCATTATTGGTTTGGAATGAGGGTTAATAACTCCTCTCGCTGGATCCTCCATATCCACCAACCCGGTTCAAGCGTCGGACATTCGCTTTTCGTCCTCTCAACTTCGTGAACTACAGTAATGCCAGGAAAAGGCAGTGCGTATGACTTCCCTGACAGTGGTTGTATACTCGTGGCTATGTGAGAGCATTTGGAGAGTGAGAGCTGACTCTCCCCACCCTTGACCATACCAGGGCATCCGGGTATATATATAATACATTTGGAGAGATTTTAGCTTATTATTTCACTAGGAGATTCTATTTCACTACTGATTTTTTGTATTAGACAAGGTTGGTCAGTAGTAGAAGATCTTGATCATATATTTTGTACTAGTTGACACTTATGAATATGGTGTTTTTTTCAAATTTGAGAACTGATGCATCCATGGAAATATGAACGTTCCTCTTATAATGCCACAGTTAAAGACTTGAGTACTATGATCTATTCTGTGTTACAGTGACCGAATTCACTATCCTTCATTATTATTACTGACAGATTTTTATGTCAGAAACACCTTTCGTCATATATAATTCAATTACTAATTAATAGTTTCACAAGAATATCTATCAAATGTCAATTTATTTCTTAAATATTATTGTTTTTAGCCATAATGTAATGGTCTAATAACATTGTTGTTACTAAGTTTGTTTTTCTTAATTATTCCTTCATATGATAATTGTAATTCACTTTATCTATGCTATTTATCTTTTTCTAGTTAAGTGATAAACGAGGTCAAATCCCAATTAAATGGACAGCTCCTGAAGCACTTCGAACTGGTCGTTACACTATTAAATGTGATGTATGGTCATATGGTGTACTTTTATGGGAAATATTTACTTTTGGTGATGTTCCTTATCGAAATTGGTCTAATCAACAAACAAGGGATATGATTGAATCAGGTAAATAATTACTAATAAATCTCTATTCCAGTGTTATTTAAGTTAGCAAGAAGTTTTGGAATAGAATTTTATGCTAACTTACTGTTATCAGTAATGTGTCAATAAAGTTGACTTAAATAAAACTACTGTCAAGTGATTAGGGTTTGAATCCTCCAGGAAGAACCAATTTTTTAATAGATTACACGTCATTTACGTCTAAGTAAATTTATATCAAATTATATATTACACGCTAAGTTGAAACACCAAAACTATTGATCATAGTATCATTTAATCGACAGAGTATAATGGATAACCTTTACCTAGACAAAGTATTTTATTTAAACACATAAACATTGGTACAAGCAGGCATCAGATACATGTGCGCCACACAAATCTCATTCGATTTGTGTGAGCGCTGTGATACTGCCTGGGTGCTCAGACCGAAGCAGGTGGTTTTCTTAGAGTGTCACACCTGGAGACTTTGACCTAAAGGTCTAATCCACAAGGCAGTGGAGCATCATGAGGAGATGCAGTCCCATGGTAGCCAGTGACCAACAATAGGTTCATATTTCATTTATTTGTTCAGGATCGTGCATCCCATGTGCACCATTGGTTTGGAATCAGGGTTTTTCAACTTCCCTTGGACTGTCCGTGTCAACCAACCAGCCCGGTTAAATCTCCGAACATTCGCTTTGGGTCCTTTCAATGTCGTAAGCAACACCTGTTGTGCGAGAAGGCAGTGAGTAGGACTTCCCTTGGAGTGTTTGTATGCATGTGGCCATTTGAGAGCATTTGCAGAGGGGGTTAAACTCTCCTCACTCGGCCGTAGCAAGGTATTTAAGGGCATTAGTCAAGGTACAACTTTTGTTAAACACTGATGATTGGTTCGAAGACAAAATATATTATTCAATCAAATTATTCCGATTATGTAACAGTATAAATCAAGATGTGAAGTAGAACATTTTCCTATTCATCTGTTAACACTTTCATTATATATATATATTCTGAAAATAATAATTACAGAATTCATGCCAGTTTACAGGCATAATCAATTTGATATAAATAGTAACATTAGATGTACAGAATAAATATGTGATAGAAGAAAGTTTTAAGTGTACTAGTTCAGTAATCGTTTAAGTAGTATATGTATTACAGCGACCCACTGCATCAGCCGCAAACTTTTAATTTTTCTTAAACGAACAGCCTATCGATTTATGAACGGTGTATTTCAGGTCATTTCCTGTGCTAGATCGAATTACTGATAATTATCTACCACTAGAGAAAGTAAAACGAAAACAGAGAGCACGGAACAACAAAGCACTAATTACCAAAATATGTCAATCCGCTCTACCAAAATGCATGTATCATGTGACACAGTGATATACTATTCAAATTAGTTAAGGTTGCTAGGGACAGTGTTAACATAAAGTGACAGCAGGTAAGTGGTTTTACTTAAGAAATTCACTAATAATAATGGCTAAACATTTAAAGTTCCTATAATCTCACTTGTGGAATAAGATACACTTACAGGTGCTCGACCATTCAATGCATTTTTAGTGGAGCAATATACATCAATGCAGCGAACATATAATGGGAGTAATTGTGGTAGATTATTCCAGAGTCTAGAAAATTTACAGGTAAAGTAATTCATATGGAGAGATGATTTAGAATAAGTTTGTTTCACTAATGACAAGCATTTACAGATGTCATCATGAGACGTTTCTACATATTGAATCACTTGATTAGATGTAACGGATAGTTTATTAGGTATTTTGAAGAAATCGATTCGATTTAGTTTGAGTCTCCTCTTCCTCTTCTTTCTAAAGTCTTCTTCTTCTTCTTTTTTGTTAGGTTACAGATTACCTGCACCTGATTTAATGCCAGTTTGGTTACGTACATTAATGAATCATTGTTGGCATGATGAACCAATGAATCGACCAAGTTTTATAAAAATTTCTAATGAAATTCAAATTCCTAATGTGAATTCATTTACACCAAATTTAAATAGATCTATAGATCATTCTAAACATTGTCAATTGAAAATATCTAATCATGAAAATAATACATCAACAATTCCATTACATTTATCAATTCCTATTAAAGATAGACGAACTAGAGAAGATTAATATGGGGATATATCTTGTTACCTATGCAACAGACATGCAATTTTATACATATATACAGAGATTGATAGGTTTATATGGATACTGATCTGTCTTGTTACTATGCCGCTATACATACATACATACATACATACATACATACATACATACATACATACATACATACATACATACATACATACATACATACATACATACATACATACATACATACATACATACATACATACATACATACATACATACATACATACATACATACATACATACATACATACATACATACATACATACATACATACATACATACATACATACATACATACATACATACATACATACATACATACATACATACATACATACATACATACATACATACATACATACATACATACATACATACATACATACATACATACATACATACATACATACATACATACATACATACATACATACATACATACATACATACATACATACATACATACATACACACATACATACATACATACATACATACATACATACATACATACATACATACATACATACATACATACATACATACATACATACATACATACATACATACATACATACATACATACATACATACATACATACATACATACATACATACATACATACATACATACATACATACATACATACATACATACATACATACATACATACATACATACATACATACATACATACATACATACATACATACATACATACATACATACATACATACATACATACATACATACATACATGCATACATACATACATACATACATACATACATACAAACATAATAGTCTATATAGATCTATACGTACATGTAATAGTGCATATGCATTGCAATCTCCTTTTTTTTGTTATTTAAGCGCCTTTTTCATCATTTCATTTATGGTTATTCTTTATTGAGATTACAGTTCAGTTATGGTATTTATTGTTGTGTAAATTCCGAGTGAAAGAAACAAAACAACTTTCTATTTGTCTTTTGTTCTCAACAAAAATTAAGCACTATAGTGATTGAAATATTGGTTCAATTCATTATTTGGAATTCATAGTTACACTGAAACCATGCCGCATATCACATCAGTTCATTAAAAAAAACTTGATTATTCTACCATATACTACCTTACTTACTTACTTACGCTTGTTACTCCTCGTGGTGGAGCATAGGCTGTGCCCACTAGCACTATCTTGGGCAAACCTTTCCAGCTCTTTCCAACTGTTATTCATTCTTTTTATATTGGCTTCTATACTACCTATAATCATTCTAATTGTCATTATAATATCTCTATATCAATCCATTTCAATAATTTTCCATAACTTCAATATGTTACTTATATACTTATTTATATGGAAATTGTTTTATTCCTTCTTCTTTCATTGACCTTTTTCTTCTTCTTCTTCTTCATTACTTACAGACTGTGATAATAGTAGATTTAATTTGTATATTTTTTTCAGATCTATTACATTTTCCATAATAAAACAAAATTACACATAGGAATGATATAAAGTTGATTGTGTTGACTTACAATGTTCCTTTGGAAGTTTTTGTCATTCTCAGAGTGTGTGTGTGTGTGTGAATGTGTATGTGTCCAATATGACATACATCAACAATGTAGTTCATTACGTACAATAATGATTTCAGAAATGATCCTACTTTCCATTATTGAATACAGACACATCTTAATTACTTATATATACTTCAACTTACTGACTTACTCCTATTCCATCTCGTAATGTATACTTGGTGAAACGCACATATATTATCATTGTGTAGTTATTCTCAATATGATCATTCTTTATATGCCTTCCTATGAATAATTGTCTCATTCTTTTTCTTGTATATTCAATTGTATTCTTATCAAGGTAGGGTTTTTTTTCTCTTTTGAAAACACAAAAATAAAAGGAATTAAGTACAAATTAGGTGCAAATTATCTATTGTAACTTATGATTAAAATGTATTCTTATCACTTACTTTTTATAAAAGTAAATAAACAAATTAATTAATACATAGTTTATTATTGTACTGTTATCATCATCACATGTATGTTTGGATATTGTATGATGTATTGTTTACATTATGTTATAATTAAGTTTATTCCATTGTTTGTTCACATTGTGACATGAGCTACTGATATCTATATAAGTAGTATTATTATTTATTTATTTGAACCCATAAATAGTGGTACAAGGAGGCACCAGATACATATGCGTCATACAAATCTCATTTGCTTTGTATGAAGGCTGTCCGGGTGCCCAAACCGAAGCAAGTGATCTAATCCACAAGGCAGTGGAGCATCGTGAGGAGATGCAGTCCCATGATAGCCGATGATCAACAATAACTTCATACTTCATTTTTTTCTTCAGGATCATTCAGCCCATGTGCACCATTGGTTTTGAATGGTGGTTTTCCAACTCTCCTCGATGGCTCTTCAACCCGGTTAAAGCGTCGGACATTCGCTTCTCGTCTTCTCAATTTCGTAAGCAACAGTGATGCCGCACGAAGATAGTGAGTAGGACTTCCCTGGTAGTGGCTGTATACGCGTAGACATGTGAGAGCATTTAGAGAGGACGACCTGACTCTTCTCACTGTCGGCCGTAGCAAGGCATTCGGCGGCAAGCATGAGGCCTTGCTGAGACTCGAACTTGGGTCGCTGGATTCAGAGTCCAGAGTGCCAACCGAACCTTACATTAAGTCGCAAAACGTCAGAAATACAACTTTTGGGATGTAACAAGAAATATACTTATTATTAACTTTCTACTCTGCTCAAGTCCAACCCTGGCATTGGTACCTACGAGACAAGTTTGTCAAAGAGACTAAGTTTTTTTCCCGTCATCTCTTTGAATAGCCCCACTGTGTTGATTTTTCCCAAAAACGAACTTCGCATCCCAATTAGAATGTATTCTTGTTATTCAGAGTCATTTAAACCATGCTTTTACCAATATCATTGTGTTTCAGATGAGATTACTGACAGCTCTCTAAGAACCAACTAACATATCAATTCTTATGTTTGCTTCAAAACTGAAAGGAAGACTAAAACGCATTGGTTTTAGAATGAACATTTCAGATTTCGACTCATGGGTTAATTAAGCACAATGAAAACAGGTTAAACGCCTCTAGATTTTGAAAGTAGTATGATAATACAACATAATGGTGATGAGCGACTGGCTGAGAAACAGAAAACCATCTTATGTCATTTCATTTAGCAGTTTATAGCAAATATTAATAAGGTGAATGCAATAAATTTTTCATATCAATGTTGTTAAGTTATAGAATTATAAGCAACTGATCACATCCTGCTAGTTACAAATTTTTGAACAACTTACGCTTATAGTAATGATTGGTAAATACAAATTCAGTTAGTAATTGTCTTTAAGCCTACTGAGTCAAGTAAATTGACAATGATTTATTAGCGAAATCGTTGCATGAATGTCTACACACATGATAACTCACATCACTTAACAAAGTGTATATTATCAAGTAAATATCACATTCAATAAAGGAACGTGAATACTTTCAAATACCAGCCAAGCAGTATTGATCAATGTGAATCTATGCGCAATTTCCAAAGTTACCAATAACACATCAACATAACATGATCAATTAAAAGTAGAGTGTTGATGAAGTTTTATTCTTTGAGCTGGATGGTTTGGTCGTAGAGCTTTTATTGTTCCTCTGAACGACATTATCAGCACAAACTTTAGGTAGAAGTGAAGTGTTTGAAAAGGGATGAGGAAAGTGTAATGAATAAGTAGAAATGAGATTTTTGTGAATTCGAAGTAAAATTCAACTTCTAACTATATTGTATACACCGTTCAATAGATTTCGATTGATGTAGTTACTGAAAATATCGGATCTGGAAGTAGTCATCTTCGGTTCCAACAGTCTATGTGGATATATAACTGAAAGTTCACAGCACTAAACAAAGTATACATTATGTATATCATGTAAACATCAAACACAATCAAAGAACATGCACTCGATCAAATCTCAGTCATTCATTCACTCAGTATGGATCATTACAAGTCTAGGCTCATATGCAAATCTGTTCAAATTGCAAGAACACATTCATATGACATGATGAATTTTTAAAAAAAGTTATGAAGACAACAGAACAATGAAGCAGCGACAATATTGAGAGAGACTGGATATTGATAAGGTACTATGAAAATATAGAACGGGAAGTTTTGTGTTAGTAAACGATGGTGTTGTAGATCATAAAGAAGATCCAACGTATATTCATTTCTACCACTGTGACCGATTCTGATTTACGTAGCCTAATATCATAATCATAGCTCACATCTGACTAAAGAAGGCCGTATCCCCATACACGTTCCAACTTGAACGTCAGGGAGTTCATGAAGTAAAACACTTTCGTTTGACCATTCCAAGTTGTCATCTATTCTACAACTGCACTCAATCAGCAAGGACCGTAAAGGCAGATATTGGTCGAACTTATATAGTGTATGCCCAAGATAACTCAGTCAAGAAAACATCTTTTAACTGACATAACGGAATGACCATCATTTCCTGACATAGGACGACAAATACAACATCACTGTACACTCAGTTGCTTGACGTTGGATAACCAAAAATTTGAACATATCTATGATAAGAGATTAACAGTTTACGGGCAATCTCATTCACCATAAATTCACTCCACACTGATTGATCATTAGTAGATGACGACTGATAGCTAATACATAAATTCAAGAGAATATCCACAACATCAACAAACAAAACTAGTAAATCGCAATAACGGACAGAGACAAATTCGTTGACATAATTTTCAGCAGAACATTGAAAAACCTCAACCGATTTCAATCATTCAATTTCTGTGGGATAAAAATTGTCAGCTATTTACAAGGGAAATCCCACACAAAGTGAATGAGCGAAATCGGTTGAGCTGTTCAAATGTTATGGTGAAAAGTGTGTTGACGAAATTGGCTGTCTCGGGCATTTCTATAGGATTTTGACACGCGCACATTCTATAGGATGTTTCCGGGTCACATTTTCTTTCATAACTATTGAACGGATTGATATTTTTCAATGGGGCGTGCTTTGTCTTACTTATCTAATTGAGTGCTATTCAATGATGTA